AGTCTTCATAATAGTATATGGGTTTTGTCATAGTTGTCACGCCTGGGGAACCAACGCCAAAAACCCTCGCATGTCAAACGCTACTACCCTTTATTGGCATGAGTATTTAGTGCCTTGCAAGTCGAGATGGTTATCCCGCCATCTATCGGAGAACACTTGATCCTTTTGGCTTTTCCTCAAGTCACCTCTACACCTACCGGATGAGCTTTATCTAACCCCGTCGCCATGTAAAATAGCATAGAATTTAGTTCATCGTAAATTACAAATTTTGTACAAAATAAATGTTTTTTTTTTTATTGTTAGTTTTACTCAAAATCATCACTTTATCAAATTGTTTTTATTTATATTTTAGAGAGCCGTGATAGCTCAGTGTCCGGGCGCTCGCTTTTAATTCAATATACTGAGTTCAATCCCCGGGTGCCGGCACCAATGAAATAATTAATTTTAAGTGCCGAACTATCACGTGCTTAGCGGTGAAGGAAAACATCGTGAGGAAACCTGCATATTTTCGAAATAATAACGAAAAATATTTCGAAGATATGTGAAGTCGTGCGTGGTGCAATAAAGCCTGATACCCTCTGTACAGAGTGGCCTTTGCCCAGCAGTGAGACATGTATAGGCTGATACTTTACTTTTTTTTTATTTTAGAGATGCTCTGTTAGCTTAAAACAAATTTTGTAAAGCACTTTACTTATTTTTACTGGATATCTATATTGGACAATAACAAAACCTTGAACAATGACTTTGAACCACAAATTTGATGGCAATTTAAATAACAAAATATTTTTTTTTGTTTAAATTGTGATTAAAACAAGTGATTTTTAAACATTGTTAATTATTATACCATATAACATAACTCTATACCATTTAAAATGCAACAAATTCATTCAAAAATTAATAAAAATTTTTAAGACAACAAATTGCAGATCACTACATAATATAAAACAAAGTCATACCACTGTCTGTATGTCCCTATGTATGCTTAGATCTTTTAAATTACGCAACGGATCTTGATGCGTTTTTTTTATTAAATATGGTGATTCAAGAGGAAGGTTTATATGTATAATACATTGCACCCAAGTGAAGCCAGGGCGGTTCGCTAGTTATAAATAAACTAGATATCAAATGCAGCTGGGAAGGAAGGACTATAATCAAAGTTCAATTTATTGAATAACAAAATGAAGAATAGATTAGGCACAGAGAATGTAGCCAAATTAGTTTTCTTATAGAGAACCTGAATGGGAAGAATAATAATGAAATGAGTAAGAACACCTGCAATACTCAAACACTTTTTGAACAAAAACTTCCTTTTGAAGTTCTTTTTCTTAGGGCATTTGGAAAATTATGAGGGTAACATTTTTACAATGTGTGCGCACACCGACCCTCAAAAAGCAACATGATGCTTGGTAACTAATTTAATCTTGGCAACCAATTACAAGTTTTTGACATTTACCATTGAATTATTAATTATTAAATTACCATTAAACAAAAACATTAGTCCTTATGCTAAAGAAGTATAACTTCTTATGTGCATACATAAGTAGAGACTAGTATTTTTTTTTTTAATTTTAGTCCAACATCATTGATGAGACACAGTCTCCAATCAAGAATCATGATGTTAATTATAATGAACTTCTGAATGAAAAATATTTGTAACATGTGAATATCATAAAGATGTGATTTAAATAAAATAAATCCAAATTTAGATTTTTTTAGTAAAAATTATGATTATTATAAACCCTGCTTTAAACTAATGTATATAGCTTGATACTCAGTTGCTTTGTTTTACATATTTCAAGACCAAGACATACAAATTCTAATCATATCATTTAATCCTATGCAGAGTGACATATGAAAGATTGTTTTGTTTACAGAATAACAACTATAGTTATGTTTTTATACAATTAGCATACTAGTTAATTACACTACTATATCATGTATAGTCAAGCATTGTTCAAGTATAACATACTTTGTCTAATAAAAACGAATTGCTTTTTATACAAAAATAATGTGATATAAATGTCTTAAATATGTTGTTAATTTTGAGAAAATAATATTAAATATCTTTCGATCTAGGAGTGAACACTTTCGGGACGGTGTTAGTTCTTTGCTTAGGTTCAATTAACTTGGAGTTGCTGTTCACTGTAATGCGTGAAAAATATAAGAATCAAATTTAGAAAATGCCAATTATTTCAACATCGGTTATAAAACACTAATCAACTATTTCTAAAATACCAATTGACTCACTTTTTACATTATTTTTATCGGCTACGTTTCTATTAGAAATCACTTTTTTAATTGTATTTACAGGAGACGACTTAGCTTTTGTAACGGTTGCTTTTGTAGTCGAAACGTTACGCTGTATTTTTGGTGTTACTTTCGGGGTCTCGCGGGGTGCCATTGCATATCACATGAATTACATGAAGCGGGATAGTTAAATAACTAAAATAAGTCACTCACAAGGAAAATAAAAATAAAGGTACAAATTATCTAAACACAAACAATTCGTCCAGTTTAAGTTTTAACGTTTAATGTGAATTGAATGAATAGATAATAGAGTAGGGCAAAAAGAATAAAGTTTTTTAGAACGGGCAATAATCAATATTTTCTTGCCTATTTCGTGTATTAAAAGCATTAAATACATTGACTTGTAAGTTAAAATGACAATACACATGTACTATATGGTCAATGGACACAGAAACTAAAAAAAGACATTGTTTCCTTGTTTTTGTGGAACAATCTGATAATAATATTAACATTGAATGGTCGGCTCGAGCCGTCTTAATCACTCATAAACGAATTTTATGGCTCGGCGGCCTTAGCATCCTTCAACTCTCAAGCCCGGTGAATTTGTAAAAGCCTCCTAGCAGTGACTTATCCGTAAAAAAAATAACACAGTATATAGTTAACCTGGCATCATAGAAACTTTCATTGAAAGAGGTAGCAAACTCTCAAGCTCGCTGAATTTAGTAAAGGCCTCCTAGCAATGACTTATCCGTAAAAAAAGAACACAGTACACAGTTAGCCTGGCATCTTCGAAACCTTCATTGGAAGAGGTAGCAGGTGGACACGTTTCCCCAGGGAGGGAGTTCGCCGCCTCTATGCGGGGATCGAGCGATCGATGGCTCTCTACGGGGCGCCCGTATAGTCTCCGACTAACGGGCTCCGACGCTGCAGAGCAATGACTTATCCGTAAAAAAAGAACACAGTACACAGTTAGCCTGGCATCTTCGAAACCTTCATTGGAAGAGGGGGAGTGCTCACACGCAGTACTAAGGGACACCAGTGCGTTCCGTGGGAGATCCCGGAGTCCCTCCAAACGTACAGAGGGTGGCCACCGAGGGGGTTTTAGTGGGTAAAAACCTCACATAACCCTGTCATGTAATGTGACAGGGTATCTTTGGACGATTTTCCCGATACCAAAAAAAAAAAAAAGGTGGACACGTCTCGAAGAATATGACATGCAAAAACTGGTGGACGACTACGACGTGATAACGCCGTCCGTTCGCCGCGATGCGATCCTAGTCCTCTTTAGATGTATGTTCGAACCAATAGTGGAACTTATCCAGAAGAAGTAATCTGGTGGAAATTGCGATTTATCGCGAGAAACTATCGCTTAAAGAAAATTAATTTACAAAAACAATTTATTTTTATAGGTTCATTATTTTATAGTGTGATTAGGTATATAGCCAAAATACAAAAAAAATGTAAAGTCTAGATTATTTACAAAAAACGAAACGACCTGATTTATTTTGCTATTAACAATCAGTTATAGGAATAGTCTTGATAGCTTACAGTCGGGATACTCGCCCTCGGAATATATTAATGAACATCTTGTAAATAATTATGTTGCCGGGACCAAAGAAGCTGATTTTTTTTGTGTTAATAAGGAAAACTTCGTGAACCAATCTACATATTTTCCAGAAAATATAGAAAAACAATATTTCGAAAACAAGGGAATCTCGCTCACCTGTGGTCGCTTAGTGTGCTATACCCTAATATCCTCTGTACACATAACGGATTTATCCAGTCTTGGGACTTTTATATAGTTTACTTTACTCACTTTACGCAGGCAACGATAATCAAACATGTGATAGATTTAATTTATTTACAAACATAACATTAAGAGAAATTATTTTCCTTTCTATGTACAAAAAGCAATAGTATTACAACTTTGACATGTAGCCTTTTTGATGTAGGTGTAAATGACCTACGGACTCAGGAAAAACATCGCAGCGAACCTACTACGGATTGGCAGTCTCCGCATATCTTCGAATAATTTTTTGATAGTATTTCGAATATATGCAGGTTTCCTTGCGACGTTTTCCTTCACTGCTGAGCACGAGATAAGTTAGCACTTAAATTATACAATTTCATTGGTGCTGATACCGGGATTTAAACTCAGCTTGATAGAGTGTATTGAATTGAAAGTTTGAAAGCGACTTCCCAGACGCTAAGCCATCACGGCTTTAGCTTGATATAATAGTTAAGAATTAATAATATATTTTGACATTGTACATTTACTAATATTATTTGATAATTTTTTTAGAGTATTTTTCATACATCTAATTTTTAATATTTTATACGCGATTAGAAAACCATAACGGCAACATTGTTATCTATTTTTCGCGACGTCCATCTTTAATCTTTGATGTGTTGTGTTGTTAACAAAATTGGTGTAAAAATATTATTACCTACTATTTTAACTGAAAATTTTGATACATTTTTCATTTGTCACTAACTTAGTATCATTTTGACAATTGTTTATTAGATGCGAACTAATTGTGTTTAAGTTTATCAAGTGTCACAGTTTCATATTCATTATCGTTTGTTCTACTAAAAAGTTTCACTGCAATTCGTTGCTATTGACCTAAGTGCTAATTGATCAACCTTCAAATGTTTTCATTAGTTTACCTATAACAAATACAGTGCAGACTTTCTGCACAGGTGAATCCAATTTATAGTTGGTCACTTGTTGTCAAAACAGATGATTTGTGAAAATGGATAGATTAAATCAGTTGAGGAATGAGGCGGGTGGATCTGGCGACTCCACTTTGGATACATCCTCTCCTCCAAGCGAAGCATATTTAACTGCAAATGAAAGTTCCAAATATTTTTCATTGTTGGAAGACGAAACTAACTTTGCTATCTCAAAAGATGCTGAGAATCCGGAGCCAGAAACCGCGGTCGCCGAAGACAACCGCATAATCTCGAATTTGTCACCGATTCCTAAAAAGAGCGACTTAGATAGTTACAAAATTGGTGAACAAATTGAAGCTGCCAACATATTATCAGGGGGTGTCGATATTTTTGATGATAACGACAATTCTTATGACGGCAACGAACTTGTTATTGATGATAATATCGCTGAGGTTGATGAGAAATTAATTCCTGAACCAAAAGCTAATGAACAGAATGTGGTTCCATACGTGCAAGAAGATGATACTTTAACACCAACAATTGCTCATGTGGAGCCTGCAACACAGAGTGGGAATGGAAAACCTGAAATTATACTCAAAATAGGTGGAAAAAGGGTTGATGCAATTAATATTGGTAATGGACTGTATTTGTATAGAAGACAGGGTGAAGAGGAGTTAGCTGCTGTCCAATTTTTGGATAATGCAAACAGTAATACTAATAGCACTACTAATACTGATAACAGTAATATCACCACCCAGGCTCAGTCAAATTGTAAATTTTTGAAAGTACGGTAAGATAAATTTTTGTTTTACTTTATGTATATTATTGGAACGAAGTTCCTTATCGCGCGTTGTGAAAGGGGTCTAGATGGAAAAAATTCTCTCGAATAGTTGTAACAACACTTTTTGCTATAGTAAGCTATTGTAAGCTGTGCGAAGTGCGCATGTTTCTCTGTCTGTTGTTTGTCTGTCAGACAAACATGACAGTTTCTAGCTGGATTTTGTTAATTCTTAAATCAAATTCTTCCTGAATTTGATTTAAGAATTAACAATAATCCAGCAGAATCAACAACAAAATATAATACTACCATTGATGCAGTTTTTGCAAGACATTTAAATAAAATAGAATCCCAAACATATGTTTCCTACTTCAGTTACCACAAGCCAATTATTACTAAAATTGAGCCTACCCATTGTTTATATTACATTATATTTGTTAATAATAAAAAAAAAATATTATAACTTAAAAAAAAAAAAATTTATTACAATTCCTTCACTAATTCATCGAAAGGAACTTCATTCCATCCGGGTGTCCCTTGACACCTCTCAATGTTTTTTATAAAGTATTAGGTATATAGAATACTTAAAATAAAAAAAAAACAGGACTTTTCTTTGTACTCTATGAGTATCAATAAAATCCGATTTTTAATTTTATATATAAACGCAAGTGTCTTGCATTTCAAACAGCAAATGTGCTTTAGAAATTATAAATTGAGGTTGTCTGATGGCTATGTAGTCATCAGATATCCTAACAAATTTAGTAAAACTTATTACATCAATGATGAACATTAAACAAGTCTGTTGTATGCATGATGTTATATGCTTCTATTGCAATTGAATAAACAAATAATTAGAATGAGGTGTACCAATGGATATATATGTATATATCCATAAAGAAATATAAAGAAAACAGATTTCCCAAATTGCCTGCCATAATTTGAGTCCCATAGGCACCCATTTTAAGTGCATGTTAGAAAAATCATTTGAGCTGCCGGAGAGTTTGCAAAATTTATTCCGCTAAGCTTCAAGGTTTGTGGGACATTGATTTAAATAAAGAAACAAATTCAGAAACAAAAACGGAAGTAAATTTGAATGGAAAGATGATGAAGTTCAGTGAATCTCGAAAATCTCCAGTAATAGGTAGTTATACTCCCATGACATTTCATTCAACTCCCAACAAAGAAGGTATTCCATTAACAAAAACTATGGTGAATCAACAATTGGATCCTAACAGGCACTCAGACAATGTTAAGAAGACAATAGAGGTACATATGGATAATTTAGAACAAAGAATTGTTGAGACATCGGTAAATACGAATGTACACATTTGTGATGTAATGAAGACTGCAGAACCAGGTGCTATTGAAAAGGAAATTGATCAAAAAATTGAAAAAAAATCAGAAGAATTAGATGTACCGGAAACAAATTTAAGCATGGAGAGTCCAGAACATGTTAGAAAGAAAGATCTATGTGACGAAATAAAGCCAATTGAAGATGGTATGAAAATGTCAGTAGAAATTAGTCAACCTGAAAATATGTCCATTAATGAAGATAATTTAAATAAAGAACCATTGTCAATAAATGAAACTATTAATGAAAGTATGATCCAAAATCAAGAGGTTGATATTAAAACAAATGTCACTGAAAAACAAGAAGTCTCTGAAAGTAATAAGGTTTCTGAAAATAGTATTTATTCTGTGGAACACAGCTCAACGGACCCAGTAGATTCGAAAAGCGATTTCACTAATAGTCCAGTACTGGTATGTAAAAGTGAAAATATCCCAGTTGGAATGGAACTTAAAACTAAGGAAAAAGAAAAAGTGATTGACAGTAAAGATGGCAGTATTGCAAATGTTTCAGAAAAGAACAATATATATGAAAGAAAAGAATTGATTGAGGAAATAAAAAGTGATAATATTACAGACACTAAAATTTCTGAGAATGTAGTCCATAGTGATTTTGAGGGTGCGGGGACTGTAAATTGTATGAAGAATTCAAATTGTGAATCTGATTTAGATCAAAAAGACATCAAGTCTCCAACTGAACTTAAAAGTGTTGACTCTCTAAATATAAGTGAAACAGGTGATGTATTAAACAATGTGTCAAGTACGAACAAGGAAGATATTGCTGCTAATAATGTTATCACAAAAACGTTTGAAAAGGACAATTCTAAAATTGATACTTTTAAAACTGTTCAAACCGAGAGTCTCAAAAAGGTTGAAAACAGTTCAAGCGCTAAAAAACCTAACGCAGACAATTCTTCAGATTTAACATGAACTACCCCAAAAATTTGTCGTAGATAACAAAACACATTCCCTGAACAAGGGCGACAACAAAAGCAAAGCTCCAAAGTTAATGTCATTTGCCAAAAAAACACATCAAATTACCACCGAAGAAGTGCTAAATATAGATTCAGACGATGAAATAATTGAACATGAGCCAATAACGGGAGATGTCAATGTAAAGAGAAAAACGCCGGAGGTTACAGAGAAAACACTTGAGCGAGAACCGAACAAAATTCAAAAAACTGATCATGGAGAAGTCGGAAAGAAAGATGTGATAATAACAGAAAAAGATTTCGATAAATTTTTCAGGAGGAATTCAGTAACATATGAAAACTGCTTAACGGTTAGCTTTGACGGCAAAGATCCACACAATGTAATACAAACTATTGTGGAAAAAGATGTTGCGCCCAAGAAATTGACAAGAAATGAGGTGTTGTTGGCTGAGTCTAAAGCGAAATCAACCCACAAACAGCAAATGTTGCAAGCGAGGCACAATAATCATCCGACCAAAATACCAACCACATTGAAGTATCAGAGTTCTGAAGATGATTCTTACATTAAAAATTATCAATCAAAGTTACAAATTGCCTACCAATCTGCGCTTACTGCTAAACGCCAAAAAGAGAGTCCGATTACAATTATTGAAGATAAACCTGTAAAAGTCGTGTTTATGGATTCCAATGTAGATTTTATTCCGTGTCAACTAAATGTACACGGTGAGAAACTGTCTCCAACCAAAAAGCCAACTCCGGATTTGGAAACTTTAACACACAGCACATCTGATTCTTTAGACTCCGATATTTTAGATACCTTTGATACAAAGTCACAAGATGATTGTAAAATCAAAAGTAGACATCAGAGAAAACAAGTATTGACTCCAGTCGAAACGCCTGAAATGGAACTTATTGAACCTAGCGATCTTGGTATCCAAATATCACCGAAGAAGAAGAGAAAAGTTGAAGAGAAAAGGGAAAGTCCTAAAAATCATGTACCAAAGAAATCATATCTCTTAGGCCGTACTGGGATAGACGATAACACTAAAATGCAGGATGTAGATAAGATTTCATTCAAGGAAACTACAAACCACAATAATTCATTCGGTGGGCAATTAAATTCGATATCAGCCATCGACAATTTGGTTAAAGCTGCAGAGTTATTGGAAAACCAAGCTGAAAGTAATAGCAGTTCCATTAAATCGCAAGACTCCGATTCGCAACAAAACACGCCCGCTAAACGAGGAAGAGGTCGTCCAAGAAAATATCCCCTTGCAGATGGAGACGCTGTTAAAAATAAGGCGCCCAGCCCACAAAAGAAACCCCGATTGATTGATGCCAAAGTCACTAAACGTGAGGAAACTGACGAGGACGACACTAGCGACGATGAAATCATAAAAGAAAACTGGACAATGGGTAAAATAAATGAAAATATTGTGTGTCCTATTTGCAGTAAACTATTCCGCTCTGAAAATGTAGTTTTTAAACATGTTAAACATTGCACAGGTCCATCGCCAAACCGATCTGAATCCGACAAGAGAAGCTTTAGAGAGTCACAAGAATCTGAAACTAGATCACAGACAAGTATGTCCGATGATATGGACATCGAAGAGCTAGAACCAAAAACTCCCAAGAAAAGAAAATCAAAGGAAAGCGTTTCTAAAGTTACCGCTAATTCCGACGAAGTTATTGTAATTGAAGACACCCCGCTAAAAGTGAAGCCCGAGAAACATCACGAGTCGAGGAAATCAACGGTGAAAACAAAAATCGTCCCAAAACCCAACAACAATTTAGTGTGTGAAATTTGTGGCAAAACATTCAGACAGGCGTCATATTTAGCTCATCACAAATTGAGCCATAAGAACGAGGACTTGAAGAGAGAAAGCGAAGCGAGTGTCGTTAAATCTGTGTTCAGTTGTGAAGTGTGCAAAAAGGAATTTAGAAAGTTGCATCATCTAGTGCAACACAGACTGATTCACAGTTCTAACTCTGCGCCAACGAGAACACTCAGAAAAAGTTCTTCTGAACAAGGTGATAATAAAGCCGCCAAAGATCTGGGTGGCTCAAAACCGACAGAAGATCAAAGCGCTGGTTTCCGTTGTGAGCCTTGCGACAAATCATTCAGAAAATTGCACCATCTCGTTGAACATAGAGAGACTCACGATGCCAGACAAAAAGCTACCGAAGTCGAATCCGTTAAACCTACAACTACCCACCAATGTGACATGTGCGATAAAACATTTAAGAAACTACAGCTGCTAAATGAGCACAAAGATCAACATTTAGAAACATGCTCTGAAAAGTCTGACGATAAAAGTGTCAAAAGTTCATTGTCGACTAAAGACATCATACACGAGTGCTCATTGTGCTATATGGTTTTTCCAAACGAGCATTCCCTGAACAAGCATACGGTCATTTGCCTCAGGAAGAAAAAGCAATCCGCTGCGAAAGCAAAACAGGCGGCGGAAAATAAAGAATCAGAAGAAGCAGAGAAAGAAATAGTCGATTCGGAAAATGCTAAACCTGAAGTATGTAATCATAACGATACAGATGACTCACTCATAATTGTTGAGGACACGCTAATCCTGAAATTATTCATGCAAAGGAAATCAAATTGGAAAATGATAAACCCGTTCTGCTTGAAAGTGTAGAATATAACAATAAAAATAAAACGGAAGCTACAACAAAAGAACTGAAAGATGATAAACCTCTCGAACCCGTCAAACTTGAACCCGTAAAGGGATCCGACGAGTCCAAAGACAAAGAAGCCGTCAAGACGTCTACAGCGATGAACGCTAACAAAGTTTCAAATCCCCCATCTCATATACCGACCAAAGTAAAACACGCCGCTGACGTTGTCGCATCGAAACCGGGCAACACTCCGGCCGTCAAGAAAAAGGCACCGGCCAGAGAGAAAGTGGGGGCAACCGTGACGAAGAGGCAAAAGACCGTGAACGCATCGCTCCCAGTCATCGACGACGTGAAGCCCGCGATAGAATCGAGCGACGAGGATGAAATCAGATACATGCTCAACCCCGACTTCAAGCAGGACGAGACGACGGAGAGCAGGAACTTCATGAAGGTCAAGGCGAAGAAGCGAAACTCCCTCCAGATCGAGCGACCCAGCTCTAGGGACCTGATGAAGAGGAGGATCTCCTTGCAGCACCCGCCGAAGATATCGCGTCTGAAGGCGAAATCGGCGGAGAAGAAAACTAACGCGCCCAGTGCGTCTGTGCCAAAGGCGGCGGCCGCCAAAGTTGAGGATCCAGCGCCGTCCACGGACTCGGATGACAGCGATATCAAATATTCCTTCCCGGTAGCAATCGGAGATCCCGTCGACGCGGCGAGCGAAGCCGAGAAGAAGCCGCATAAGAGAAAATCACTCGCGGCGAAGAGGAAGTCGCTTAGTGGAGTCGCCAAGAGAAAGTCTCTGGGGAAAGCGATCAACTCCAAACACAAAGTGAACACGCCGCCTGCGAAACAAGTAAAAAAACGTAAGTCTCCTACATACCACTAAGCTAATATACATACGATGATTTTCGGATCTTAATCAACGCCTTCATTATGCATTAGTTTTATGCCTAATTGGTTATGTATTTGTGTCGATCATAGTAGAATTGGATATTTGACGTTACAGAGTTGCAGTTACGCACTATTCATAGATATGACTTCTCATAATCACATTGGCGTATCTAGGGCTATTTTTCAGGGTGGGTCTCTGGGCCCTTACTACAAAAAAAATCGACCACTGTAGAACTTTTAAACAACGCAACGAATTTTGATGCGATTTTCAGCAACAGATATTATTCAAGTGGAAGGTTTACAAGTAGTATATATGCATATTATAGTAGAGAAAATTCGAGAAATTCAATATTCATTGCACCTCGCTCGCTGCGCTCGGCTTCAATCTGCTTTTGGTGATGAAGGATAGGTGTTCAGTCTAGAATTTCGAATCGGTAACCTAAAATCCTGGGGTTGACACTAGACCACTTATGCATAATCATAACCGTTATCGTTACAATTTAGGCGTTATATTTCAGCATTTCATGAGAAGGTTATATTTAGATCTGCAAGATTAAAGGCAAAGAATTGTTACGAAACGAGATTCGATCTGGTCACGTGTTTGTCAACACATTATACGCGAGACGACGATATTCGCCGTAACCTAAATAACACGCCTTATCGGCGCGCAATTCGTAAACAATAATTGAAACAGTGTCGAAGTAGCCTTACCGGCTTCGTTATTTGCAACGTATCTCTTAAATATATTGCGAATGTATATTTTCAATTGTTTTATTAGTAATAACGTGTTTATATAAAAATGTTTTTGATTGATAAATTTATGATATATATTCTTTATGGTAAATCATTGATTAGATATTTTGATTTTACGCTCGGATTTGTCGTAACCTAAAATACTTATTATTGAAGTTAGAAAAGTTCAAGGATGGTCACCAATTCTAACCTGTGATTACATTCATAATCAGAACTAGAATTAAATTTAATTGTATGAATTACATTCATAATAAGTTGCCTTTAACTGTGGTAGGGCCACGCAGCAGCCTCGGCTGTTGCACGAATGGGCAGGCTCGTCCGGGTAAGTACCAAGACCTCACAGAAGACCGGCGTAAACTGGAAGTATGACAAATACTTTCGCGTTTCGTCTGGTGAGTGAGGTAGCCGGAGCCCAATTTTCAAAAGGTCGACAACGCATCTGTAACCCTCGGATGTAGCAGATGTCTATGGGCGGTGGTATTCACTTAACATCAGGTGAACCGCCTGCTCGCTTGGCAACTTTTCACATAAAAGAAAATAAGAATGAACTTTAAAATGAATCGGTCAGAATCTCAGACGTTACATCTATCCTGCTGCGCGTCGCAAATGGAATGTGTCAACCTATGTACTAATGTTTGTAGCGTTAAAAAGACCAAGCATCGTGGGCAGATTTTGATGATACCTAACTTCAATCGAACCGTCTAAATCTTGCGTGTGCCATTAAAGACATAACAGTAGTAAAAATTGGTGATAACTTTTAAAAAGTTCGCTATTACGCAGTTAAATAATTCTAGGTACTTGTATTTTTTATATAAGAAAGTTGCGGTTCACCTGATGTTAAGTGATAACCGCCGCCTCTTGGCATTTACAACACCCGTAGGGCTACAGTTACAACTTATAATAAAGTGGGCCCCGGCTACCTCACTCACCACAAAAAAAAATATTTCTATAGGTAATTTTAGGGCTCCGTATCCAAAGGGTATAAATGGACCCTGTTACTAAGACTCCGCTGTCTGCCTGTCTGTCCGTCCGTCACTAGGCTGTATCCCATGAACCGTGATCGTAAGACAGTTGAAATTTTCACAGATGATTTATTTCTGTTGCCGCTATAACAACAAATAACAGAATAAAAAAAAAATTAAGTGAGACTTCCGTAGAATAGACGTGATTTTTTTGGCGTTTTCACAGATAATTGTACGCGAGTTCGACTGGCATTTGGCCAGTTTTATAATCCTATTAAAGCAGAAGTTAAGTTACTTGACGGTGTCCCTGATCTATTTTCACTGTCCTACTACATGAAAGGTCATTGAACGTTGGCACAGATCGCCCGAGGATGTTGCGTGTTGTTGTGAAGAGAAAATCACAATTTAAAGTGATATCTGCTCAACGTTTTCCAATTTTTATTTAAATTTTTCATACTTATCAACTTATTATTTTAGCCCGGCTTCAAGTCTCTTATTGCACAAAAAAGTTGCTGTATGTTATGTGTTAAATTTTCCCATGGGTTAAAACGTAATAAAAAGTGTCTCCTTGATTACACACTTTGCAAAATATCTGAACAGAATTCTGATTAGTGCTAAAAGTTGCCATGGCTGCTTTTGCTATTTTTTGTGTCTGCGTATTTATTTTTTGCATATATAAAGTCCGCTAAAAATTAATTACGCCCGAGTCAATTTTGTTCTGCGAGCTTTGCGTATTATATTTTGCGCTCGCCTTTAATTCAATATCTAGCAACCAGAGTTCGATCCCTGGTGCCAATGAAGTTGTTAATTTTAAGTGCCGAATTATCACGTGCTCAACGGTGAAGGAAAACATCGTGAGGAAACCTGCATATTTTCGAAGTAATAACAAAAATATATTTCGAAGATATGTGAAGTCCGCCAATCCGCAGTGGGGCCGCGTGGTTATGCCCTGAGGCCCTCGGTACAAAGGAGCCCTTTGCCCAGCAGGGGGACATGTGTAGGCTGATACTTCTGTCAATGTGTAAACGACTTCCGCCAGGCACAACGGAAGCGGAGCACCGGTGCGACTGCGGCCAGCTGTTCAGCAGCGCGGCGTTGCTGTCGCGCCACACCACGCTGGACCACACGCCGCCGCGGATCCGCCGCCGCCGCTCGCCCTCGCCGGCCGCCAAGCCGGCGCGGGCCGAGCGGGCCAGGCCCTCCGCGCAGGGCCCAGAGCCGAAGGGCGGCGTCGCCACGCGCAAGGCGAGCAGCGACGCGAAGGCCGTCGGGGCCAAGGGCCGCCGCAGCGCCCCGCAAAGGCCCCCGCCGGTGCCCGAAAAGCTCAGGAAGCTCGCGGACAAATCGCGGCCCTAAGCCACGGCCCGTAGTTTAGGATAGGCGAATCGCTAGTTGTCTAGATGAAATCACGCACGTGCAACGCTCACAATGACGCAACGGACGGACCACTGTATCATAGGGATATTTTTACAGAGGCGGCAGCGAACGCTCCCGCCATCGACTGCCGCGCGATATATTTTATTGTGAGTATGGGGCGTTGATCTTGTCTATATATGTAAATTTGCGGACATAAGAATTATATTATTATAATTATATTTTGTCAATTTGTTTTTAGAATTTAGGTACGACGTATGAGAGTTGATATTTATATTGTTATTTTTAAGACGTATTTTTTCTTTCGCGTTGGTTCGATTACACAGGCGCAGTGCAATTACAGTCAAACTGCTCTTTAAGTTTGGGGCTGTCCACATAACGGAAATATGAAGTATGTTCGCTCTAAGTTTCGATTTAAAGAGCTTTAAAATTTAAGAGTGTTTCAATTAAATTGAAATAACCTCTCAATTATCCATTTGATCGTTTGAAAATTGTTGAACCGATTAAAAATGATCGGAATCTTTAACGTAGTGAATAAGTAATAAAATAATGCAAGTAAACTTAAGCGGTAAAAATGGGTTTTTCGAAGGAAATATATATTTTGATACTTGAATTGTAACGAGCTATGTGATAAATATATGAATTCACATAAATGTTAGAAAATTTGTCAAAAATATGCGTAAAATAACTGGACAGCTCATAAACAACACTGACATGTAACCCGTTTTTTCATGTCGATAGAAACAAGCCAAAACGTTAAGTTGTAGTTTTAAAACATTAGAAACGGTCACGGATTAATAAACAAAGGTAAACATATCTATAACTGTTTTGAAGTGTAAAATGTTTTAATACAGGATAAGGTAAAGTTACATGAGCTTATAGAGGTCTTTATTTTAAACATTGATTTCGTTTTCCAGGAATTGTAATTTGCAGTAGTAGATGATATGAGCTTCCGTTTGTATCTGTTTATGATTTAGTTTTATAATGCTTAGTAGTATGATTGACCATTATGGATAAGCGTTAGAGTAATGTTTTAAAAATCGGATTTTTTCTGATCAACGTATTGTTTAGTGTGATAAGTAAGAATCGCCCCCAATTTGGATGAAATTTATTATATTCCGAGTTTAATACAGATTAAAAGAAATAAATTCCATTTTCAACGTGTGTGTGCAAACTTCATCGTGTATTGTCTTGGTTTGCAATACATTGAAAGGTAATCTCATTTAGCGACAAATAGTTAACTATGGTGCATTAGTTTGACCATTATAATTTCAAGTTTTTTTTTAGCGAACTAGGACCAAATTGTATCTAATTCTGTTTGTAATGGTAATTATATAAAGTTGTTTTTAATTTTAATTGATGTTTATTCTACTCTCGTGACTAACAGTAATGTTATGTAATAAATGTGTTGAGTAGATTGGTCTCGTGAGATTTATGTTCTAGGAGCATTTAACATGAAATTTTATATATTATGTAGATGATATCATTATTTTTCATATGATGATGCAATTTTGATTAATGGGTTATAAATAAATTGTCTAAAACACAATGATTTTTCTTTTTAATATTATATTTTTATATACCTACTGTGAATACATCAAGGGATTGCACACCAGTACGTACACTCCTGTTGTAGTTTTAGATGATGCTCAAAAATATAGGTACATTAAAATGTAGTGATAACATTATACCTGTAAACTAGCATTTAATTTTCATAGTCATAACTTCATGTGCCTTTCTTTACTCATAACTCCCGGTTGAGGTAGGAGAATAAGGTAGGTAGGAGTATAATAATAATATAGAGTAAATTAATAAACAGATTTTTTTTATTTGGCGACAATTATTTGTCACCATCTAGTATTATTTTGTATCATTTATTTGTCATTAAATATATTATATACTGCAAACATATATAATAAATTAATATAAGAAAAATACAATTTTATCTGATCCCAAAACTATAAGAAATTTCTGAAAAATAAATAAGTTAAGTGTTGCCAGAGCAAGAGCCTGAAATAAATGTAATGTAGCCTGGACAAATACATTTCTTCATAAAGACTTTTTACATAAAATTCTAAATATACAAAATGTTTGGAAGTTAACTTAACCAAATTGCGTTACTCTCTATTTAACCTCTTTCGCATATTATATCCACAATGCTGGGCTCCATCAGCTGAGGGTCGACACACCTTAATTGTGCAGATGCAAGAGCATCTTCTAACAGCGCATTCAAAAGCCTCTCGTCGTTCCCCATGCAGGAGAGTCTTTGTTGCAAAAAATGTACGTCCACCTGTAGTTGTTGCAATCCGTGTCTACTAAATGTACGCAGTCTGACACATTCAACAAGCGCTTTAAGTGCCACTTTCAAAGCCCCATTGGACAAAGCACCCCTGTCGGCACCAGCCGGACTGAAAACCTCTATACGTTCTGAAAAGATTCTGTTTATAGGAGAAAATGAGGAAGGGGCGCGTGACCAGATTGTGCGCCTACTAGAATCGCTTGATGGCTTCACGCTGGTAGGGAACAGCTGTGAAGCAGCGCTGTCAGCGCTAGCTAGGGTTTCAACAACTCTGCGGCATACTGCCCTCGGTCCTCTTGGCTCTGGTGCCCGTAACCAATCCCTGGCGAGTACAGACACTCTCAACATCTGCGCAGCAGTTTGACCGATAAAAACAACCTCAGAGTCTAAAGCCGTCTGGGCTGCAGTAGATAAATTCACCATTACATTATTTGAGTCTCTATTCTCTATGCTCAATCCTGGTGCTGCCTCTTCAAGAAGTTTCAACAGATGATTGTGTAAAGTGCTTACTCCATTCTCTTGCAGTTCCAAACACAATTTTGCTAAAATCAGAAACAACTCAAAGGGTATGTTGTTTGATGTCTTCAGGCATGCCAATTTCTTCACCATGTCCGAGAGATTGATAAGTGTTTCTGAAATCACTGTCCAGCAACTGTTGGCAACAGCCTTCGCACACCATGGTTTAAGTCCAAAGGAAAGATTATTCTGTAGAAAGGCCATAAGATCCAATAGAGACGCTTGTATTTTTTGCATTAGATAAACCTGTAAAGAGTTTAGAATGTCTTTAAGATCTGCTGCTTCCGAACCCTTGCTTGCTAAATTTTGTCGCACTCTCATTAGGCAATCTTTAAACTGACTCTGAATGGATTGATACTGAACAATAGCTTTATGGTTTATACATTGTATCACTACGTCCAATGCCTTCTGTGATATTGTATCACTTGAAATTATTTCAGACATTGCCTGCAGTTTCCTGAAGAATTTATCTAGGCCCCTCACTAAGATCTCTGTTCCAATATTTTCAGGCCTCTTCACAACTTCCTCAAAGAGTTGAAATAACTGTGACATAATTTTTTCAGCAAATTCAGGAAGATTTGTACTTTCCTTTTCTTGAAACATTTCATGATGGCAGGATATAACAATCCCCAAATCAGCTAACAAGGTATTATTACACTTTTCAACCCATTCAAGAATGTCTGTACGTTCAACCATAGCATTTAAGCTTTGCAAATGTTGATCTAGTCTACTTTCAGCACAGCTAAGAAATATATCTTGTAAAGAGGAATCAGTTTCCTGCAATTGCCTCAAAAGACCAACACTTTCAACAAGCTCTGCTGCTGTTGTATCTGGTTTAAGAAGTCTGTCTCTTAAAGTTTTTTTTAAACCATAAATTATTTCTGAGCATTCTGATTGAATGCTTTGAAAAGATGGTTGGTTGCCATACTTTTGTAGGACTCTTTGAGCATGTGCATAGTCATGTACCGCATCTGCATACCTGTTCTCTTCTATTGCATTATTGAGCTGAGTCGGCAAAAGAAAAAGGAACTGAAGTTTATCAAGTAATTGCCTTGTTGAGCATAAGCGATTGACGTTAGTGCCACTCTCTTTGAGAGAATCTGATATCTGAGCACTAAATGCAGTTATCTTGTTAATATTATCACTAAGTTTATTCATTTCTTCTTGCATTATTTGAAAATCTGATCGCATTTTCCGCACGGTCTCGGTAGCCGAAATAAATTTATTGTAATTTTCATAAACTAATGTTTGCATTTCCGATTGCAAGAACTGACTTTGTTTGACGATTTCAGCTTCCTTATCCATCACTTGCTTCAATGTAGCAAGTTTCAACAAACATCCTAAGTACATTTCAGAATTGAAGTTACTTCCATCTATATCTAGAGGATTTTCAGCATTATCCTTTGCAACATCAGCCATTTTTATTAAAATTTAATGAATAAAAATAATTACAATATTAAAATAAAATTTTATTTAAACAAGTTGTCGCCCTTCTGATACAAAGCAAGTTATCAATATCATTTATTTTTCTCATCAAATCAAAGAATCTTCTTCTTCTTCTAAGGCAGTTGGCGGTTGTCGGACACAATAATGGTAAAGAAACAAATGGGTTCAAATATCATGGATATCTTATAGTAGTTTATTTTTGCCTAGCTTTTATAATGAAATGATGAAGAGAATCAAGCAATCAAACATTGAGATTGCAATGACAGTTAGACATTGACACTGACAGCCAAGTTAACAGTAGGTGCACAAGAAAGCAGTTGACAACAATTAGATTAAGTATTATTTTTTATCTTTCATTTAATTATTGTTGGGATGTCTAAAATATAATAATATAAATACAAATAATACATAGTCTATACGGTTTTTCGATAAGAACTTTATTTTTCAAATTAAAACAAAACAGATTTTATATAAAAGTCATTCATTTTTTTATGTTGGTTTGGCAATAATATAAATGGGGCATTGAGCATTCCACGTACAAACGGACAGGTAAAAACATTGATGTTTTCGATTTTAGTAATATTTAATTATGTTTTATAATCTTTTTATCTCCACATTCAAGGGCAAGACAAAAAAATAATACTTCAAATACCATATCAGATGACGGCTTTGCTGCTGTCCCATTCTCTATTTTGTATACTACGGTGAGCCACGCAGCAGCCTTGGTTGTTGCACGAATGGGCAGGCTCGTCCGGGTAAGTACCAAGACTTCATAGAAGACCGGCGTAAAGTGGAAGTATAATACTTTCGCGTTTCGTCTGTTGAGTAAGGTGGCCGGAGCCCAATTTTTCAAAAAGTTGTCAATGCATCTGGAACCCTCGGGTGTAGCAGATGACCGTGGGCGGCGATATTCACTTAACATCAGGTGAACAGTCAACTCGTTTCGCAACATTCACATAAAAACAAAATACTGACAAACTACGACAGGTGGTTAAATTTGCGTTAAGTTTTGCGGACTTTACTAGAAGTGGACATACTAGTACATTTTTTATAATTTGCCGATACGAAATGGTTTCAGATTTTTAGCATTACCAACGTTAATGGTCATATGACAAAGATAAATGGTCTAAGTGTTCACACACTCACTTCTCAAATAAGAAATTTAAAAACCTCGTTTAAACCGATAAAAGTAATAATTAACGCTAATTAATGTTGTGAAAATAAAAACATTTATATGTGATAGATATTTATATTTAATAATTATTTAAAATAACGAATTTTTGTGGCGTCTACAATATGCAGTTTGAAACAAGAAGCAGACATAACACAAGTAAATATGGATTTGTCCGACAAAATATATAAGATTTGTACATTCTCAAAAATATGCAGTTTTTTACTTAAATATAATTACAACATATCGTAAAATCTAAATGTGCTTTACCAGTATATATATAAATTATCCGTAGCAAGACAAATAATCGCTACAAATAAGACTCCTACAATAATTATCTAACATTTAGCAACCTAAATGAGAGAGCGAATAAATTCATATCTATATACATAACAAAGAACAAATTGGATTTTGATCATATTTTTTGAACTGATACTTACTTGAACTAGATATACACATAAGCATTAGGATATGAAAAAAAAATAATATAATAATCACATTTTCCCTTTTTTGCGGACATTTCACAGCACGATTGACCTCAGTGGTAATAACTGTAGAGCATCAGTTTCCGTCGTAGTCACTCTGTCCGCAGCCGCAGCGGGTCCAAGAGCGGCAGGTCGGTGGGACTCTGGCACTCCACCTGGTGGAACACCTTCAGGGGCACCTCCCTGGGCTTGCGCGTGGGCCGGGCCGGGCGCGCCCTCGGGGGCTGCACCCGGACGGGCACAATCCGGCGCCGGCCCACGGCCTCTGGGGGCTGGTTCTCGGCCGCCTCCAGCGCCGTCTCCACGTCGATGAGCGCGTGGTTCCGACACTGGAGCAGCGCCGCCAGCTGTCGGGAATGGAAACCTCGGCTGCTGTCTCCCGTTCGCGGACGTTGCCGACGTCGGGTGAAATTTCAAAATAGCGACATCTCTCGTTCGAATTATCGCTGTGGAACTTTATTTGAAATTGTTCGTGGCGTGTAAAGGGCACGTGACAATGGATGCATCGAGGCATTTCTTAAAATGCGAGAAAATAACGTAGATAAAGTACGTAGTCGGTGTGGCGTGTAGTAATTATAACGGTGGTAGGGCCACGCAGCCGCCTCGGCTGTTACACGAATGGGCAGGCCCGTCCGGGTCAGTACCGCAACCTCGCAGAAGACCGGCGTCAAGTGGATGTATAATACTTTCGCGTTTTGTCTGGTGAGTGAGGTAGCCGGAGCCCAATTTTCAACAGGTTGTCAACGCATCTGCAACCCTCGGGTGTAGATGTCCATGGGCGGCGGTATTCACTTAACATCAGGTGAACCGTCTGCTCGTATGGGACCTTTTCACATTTAAAAAAAATCTGGCGTTTGATTTAAGGGTTAAAGCATCTGCCATAAGCTGTCATTTAGCGGCATATTTGGCTCGGGATTACGCAGCAGTAACAATTAAGAGGAACAGCTGCAGGAAGAGAGCTACGGCATTGGCGAAGGCAATCAGAATGTCTGACGATTACTGTCGGCTGATGACGCTGTAGCGAAGTTTTCAAGGTATTGGCTTCGGCGCCGGGGGTCGAGGGTCCGGTTCCTATACGGTACAAATATTTGCGTTACCAACGGATAGTTGTTTCCGATCTGGGTGTTCGTCCACGTGAAATTTATGTATGTAAAACGTCCTTACAACACAGGATAGTGTCATACAATAAGGGGGCATTGTTTTCTAAGCGAAAACTACAAAAGAGTACTAGGCCGCGGTGGTCATCGGGACTTACTACCCAACCCCTTCCAAACGGTCAGCCGGGGGGACCTGTAAAGGAACCAGGGGAGCGGTCACCTGCAATATCTGTCTGAGCGGCTGTTGCGCGGCGGGCGGCGCGTGCGGCAGGGCTGCCGCCAGCGCGGCCGCGGCGGCCGGCAGCCGCGCCCTGACCAGCGCCAGGGCTGCCAGCGAGCGCGCTACGTCCGCGCCCTCGGCCACCCCCTCGGAGCCCTCGGAGCCCGAGCCGGGCTCCGCGCGCTGCTCCAGCTGCTCGACCCTCTCCCACGAGCTCCTACAGAATATCACTAGCACTTCGCCCTTTTTGCGCCTGTTTCATATCCAACTACGGACGGACGATAGTCCGTCACTGGTATAGATTGGACCGATTTTTGTGTGCTCGTCATAGGTTTGCTCCCGCTAGCGCGCCATAGTGGGCGCTGGGGTGCACGGGGAGCACGATTAGATAAAGAGGTAATTAAATATTTAATTTGTGATTATTAATAGATAATAGACAGATATATGAAATAGGTGTAATTAACTATTATGAAAAATCAACACTCCTCTGGTTTTTTTTTTTTCTTGTAACACCTAGAGCGTCCACGGACACAATTTGTAAAATAGGGCGTTGGAACTTTTTTCCTCTAAAGAAAGCCGTAACACGGATTAAAAAGGTTGGGAAACTATGACATAGAGCGTGTGAATAATCAAAGCATCGTTTTTTCATACATTTCGATTGCAAGACTTCCTATTAACTATTAATTTTACTCTATAAACGATTTCGTAGCGCGCTTTTCAATCACACCTTATTCAGACACATTGAATTTTTTATATTGCAAACTACCTACTGTTTGCTTTAACTTTCCTACCAAATAATAAGCGATGATACGGTAGCAAACGTTAAACAACCACTGTATCGCTCTAACAGAAAAATTTAAAAGCTGTATTTAGATGGAAACAGACGTAAATATTGGATTGCTTTATAATTGCAAAGTCGCAAGACGTTACGGGCCGACGTCTTATCAGTATCATATGGCCACTAGGATTTTTCAGAAAGACCAGGTTACCATTGACAATCAATTCGTTCAAGAGCGTTCAAGAGTTAATTAGAGTTCACTCACTATAAATCACATTGATCGTTCGAACCCGGTCTGACGAACCGAATGTCAGGCATAAACTATTTAAATATGGAATAAATCATAAGCTGGCCGGTTGATAATTAAAAAAAAAATCGGTCACATGTGGGGCGGCGTGTCCGGCGGGGTCAGTTGCCGCGGCGGCGGCGGCGGCGGCGGACGTGGGCAGTCGAGCGGCCGCCGCAGGTGCTGTGCCAGCGCGCACACGTAGCCGACGGGCGCCGGCGCGGGGCGCATCAGCGCCGACAGCGCCGCCCCGCAATCCGCCTCCACCACTGAACCCAATCATCGCTGCGATAGGTGCCCAGCGGCCTTGGCTACCACTTGGGGGCCGACCGTTAATTACGTGATGGGTTGAGGGGGTTTAGCAAAAATCGCGAAATATCACAAAGGGGTAGGAGGGGTGTAGTAAGCTATCACGTGTATTTATTGTTTACAGAAACGCGCGATCTATAACCGAACAGCAGTGTGTGGTGGGACCTTGACCCGCCGTTACATTTTTGTCATGGTCCTTAATTTCAGAATAAAATTAGATTATAGTCTAAACCAATATTCGAACGATAATATTCTAAAAATTTTAAGATTCTTTGTAAGTGCTAAAAATACACGTGTTTTTTGTAGTCCTCAACTCACCAAGGGGGCCGACGCAAAAATGATAAAAAAAACGTCACGTGATTAATGGACAGCCCCTTAGGAACTACTCTGTTCTTCGGCTGTTGCACGAATGGGCAGGGTCGACCGGGCAAGTATGTATCATACTTTAGCGTTTCGTCTGGTGAGTAAGGTCACCCGGGCCCACCTTTCTTAATGTTGGCAACGCATTTGCAACACGTTAGGTGTTGTTGTCTTCTTGTTTTACAATTATTCACATTAAAAAAAAACTACCTATGGTATTCACACTTTTGTCGTTCGTCCGGCGGGTGTAAAAACAACCCCTTTAACATATTATGGAGATCATCATTTCACTTCAGAAAATCAAATGGCTTGTGTTCCGCATCTGGACTATGCTGGTCGGCAATCTCATGGGGAATGTGGCCTTCTTGTTCGGTATTAGTTACACCTAGCAATATATACGTATGCAATAGTACGGATGAAGTTTTTGTACTAAGTTTTGCGTACACATCTCGCTTTGATTCTCACTTTTGTGTGCCATATAACATTCGCCGATGTAGTGCAGCAAACGGATAGGTGGAGGAAATTTGTAAATTAGCTTTAGTAAGATCCAGGTGCATGAATAAATAAACGCACGGTGACGTGTGATCGTCCCACTCGAGTACAAACTAACAAACATTTATTTTGCCTATGGCCACAGAAGTCATATCAACCACAACATAATTATTCTAGTGCGATGATTTGTTAATTTTTCCGGCAGACCGATTAACCATTACGTACACAGTTCAGTTTGACAATAATTTTTGTAATATCAACAGAGCCTTTTAGATCTGTTGTAGTTGTCTCAAGTAGTGGGAAGAACGGGTGATTCTTGAAAAATACCCATTAGTATACTGACAAGCAAAGTGGAAATGGGTGATTTCTTACATGAGCTCTTCATGGCAATAAGCATGGCCACAACGATGTAGTGTAGGTTGGGCATCACTGGTCCATCAGCGAATACGAAACCCCAGAGGTCCGGGATCTCCGACCGGGGGAACTCCCTACCGAATAACAGCCGAAGCCAGCGTCTGCAAACAATAGCCCATATATTTAGGTCCAAAGAAGCCACTACCATAAGACAATGTTCAATAATCACTTTCAAATTAGACGGTTACGCGGGTTAACAACAATGACATTCCGACGTCTAATACCTTACTCTGCCCCGTGCCCATGAATGCTGTAAATTATGCGTTAAAACAAAAGATTACCGTACCCGAATGGTAAATCGGGACCGTATTACTAAGACTGCTGTCTGTCTGTCTGTTCATCTGTCACCAGTTTGTATCTCATGAAACGTGATAGATAGACAGTTGAAATTTTCCTAGATGCATTTTTCTGTCGCAGCTATAACAAAAATTACTAAAAAAAAGGAATAAAAAATATATAAGTGGGTCTCTCATACAACAGACATATTTTTTTTGCCGTTTTTATAGTAAATGGTACAAAATCCTTGATGCGCGCGTCCAACTCGCTCTTGGGCGGTTTCTTTGTAACATACGGCATACCCCTTATGTAATGGCGACAATGCAATAGCTACTCACATTCCAAAAAGCTCCAAGGATATGTTGCACTCGGCCAAGTGTGTTGCCAGTTCGTGCTCCAACGGCACCAAAAACTCCTCTTTCACCCGTTCCAAGTACCGCACGACTTCATTTTGGCTCTGTAAATGAATAATTCTAGTGACTTTATGAATAGTGTCAATTGTGAATAAAAAAACTTTACTGTTTTATTTGTGTCAAACAAAAAACAATGCCAATAAAAAGGGTAAAACGTTTTCAATAAAGATGAGTCTTTTCAATACATGCTTCATTTTAAATCAATCTTGGTTTACCTTCATAGCTTTGAGCGATCTATTTTAAGTTCAAGATTAAGTTAACGCAAGGTACAAATTAAAATCGATTGAAAGATTTGCAGCGAGCAGAAAAACTAATTAACAGTAAGAAAAGAAAGCGAAGTAATTAATGATGAATCTTATATTATCTCATTTGAACTTATGTATAGGAGTAAAGTATACTCACGTGCATTGACCTTGATGTAGGCAATCGGCCAGACGAAGTTGGCACTACGTCGCCAGTCGAGTAAAATTTTTCTAAGCCTTTCATAACGGCAGAAAATAACATGCTGTCAACAAGCGATTAATATATTCGAACCACAAAAACGATAAAAAAATCGATTACCTTCGTTTCTCTATACCTCTTTTTAAAGTATATCGAAATTAATCGTTTTACAATAATTATAGATAGTCAAGATAATAATAATAATCGTTGAACACGATAAATGGACGTTGAAAATATTATACGTACTGGCTGTCGTGTTCCAAGTATTCCTTATCTAAATAGTATTTGAGCGTATCACTGAAAAAAATAAATAATAATTACAGTTAAATGTAGTTATAATAAATCGGTAAAAAATATATGTTGTCTGTACCTGACTTCGTCTGGCGCGTATAATCTGTCGCTGTGCAATTCAAAGAGTAACGGCGCCAAAACTTCGTGCATTCCTTGTCTATAACCTATTGGATGTGACCGCGCCCAGAAAAATAGAACGCGGACCTATGAGAAAAGAATTTCATTTGCTTTCATCAATCGTATATGCTTTAATAAAACTTCTAGACAGCTATCATCAGTTCCTACCATCAGGTCCTGGACTTCCTTCTCACGGAAGTAGGCCTCGTCCGGAAAAGTGCGTACAACGTCTTGTAGTATGAGTGCTTTGAGCTCGTTATCACAAAAGTGTTGTTTCCAGGCGCTCTGGAGAAATGAATAGAAAGTGTCTTGGTCTTATAAATAGATCGGAAAAGTAATTTGACGGATTTATTAGAGTCCAAGATCCCAGGGCCGCCAGACGTCACGTATTTTTTGACAAACGAAATGTGTATGATTGAGTAATGTTAGTATGTAGCGTGCAAACCAATACGACCGACGGAAAGTGTCTGGGAGTATTGACGACTTACTTTTAACGATATACGTAGTCTAAAAGATACTTAAAAATCACCTTGGAAAATTTACGTGAAATAAGTAATGTTTTTATCTGGAAATTGGCCCACTGATCAAGCTAGCAGGTAGGCATGCGATCGTAGTACATACTAACACTACTCAATCATACACATTTCGTTCGTCAAAAAATACGTGACGTCTGATGGCCTTGGGATCTTGCTCTATTAGAATTGGTTTTGGGAAGGTCAATATTTGAATATTAACATTGGTTTAGATATAACGTAAATAGTATCATTTAACGACTATTCTAATGATATCACTTGCCTCATCATTCTGAGAGAGTGGATCGTCGTCGATCGCCGCGCGCGGGTCCATTGACAATTTTTCTTTCAGCTCATCATAGAAATTTCTATGAGCCTTAATACTGGAAGAAATTGTACAGTTTGGGATGTGTTCACTATCAATTTCTTTTATAGAACTTAAAGTTTAATAATAACTAAGCTATTGTCTGCGGACTAAGCTGAAGCCACGGCTAGTGAATTCTGTTTCATGATTAGGTTTAAAATGAATCTCTTCGGATCTCGCAAATAACTCTCGCAAATAATAGTTAAATTTATGTATTTGCATATTGGTTGATGTTATGTAAGCCACATTGGGATATAGATCCGACCCGTATACTACTAGCAGTCATTATCGGGAAGCAGCAACAGCAGCAAGCAGCAGGCAGCATTCGGGAATCTTCAGGGAAAAAGCGTGGTCCTTCACAGCTGGTCGTATGAGAAAGCTCGAAGTCGCTCAGGAGCGGAGATATCCTCAATTGAACACAGTAAATATGGGAAAAATGTTCTTGACCAATTGCTCAAAATGAATCGACTAGGGAGGTTTTTCGATGAGCCATCTCGTCACGGAAGGTGGGCGTTCCACACGCACCTTGCCTCTCTCCCCTACTCTTCGCGCTCTAATCGAACGACATCAAAAGCCGACCTCGTGCTTTTCGCGGACGGAAGGAACCCCTATACGGAAAAAATCGCTAGCCGTAGGTGAGGGGTCACGAAGCTGCGCTTTGGAAGCGACTCCGTGATAACTTTCGTAAACGGGGAATTGTCGTGCATCTAGAAAAAACAACAGCTATACACCTTACCCGAGGCCATGCTAGACTTTATCCAACCTGCCAAGCTCACACGATTTGCACAGAATAGACAGGGCGAATCACCTCTTACAACTAGCGATGGGTTAGCTTGGGACAAGAAAGTGAAATGAATATAAAATTATATTAATGATTATATGTTTGACACCCATATGTCATTTGGTACCAATATTTTGTACATTATTACTAAACCCACATTTACACACATATTTTGACACCATAACCTTGATCAGAATTCTTGCCAGTGTTCAACAGTTAATGTTTTGTGTTCAGCATTTTTCTTAACTATTAGGTAATTTGGTGAGATGAAAATATAATACATAATATTTTAGATTGCATGGGCTAATTTTACTTTCTTATCTTATTGTAAACCTATAAACTGCACTTGGTCATATTTGTTGTGTCACTTATTGTTGTACTTACTTGTGTTAGGCATATTTTTCTTCATGGCCAGTACATATTACATGGTGTGTAATTAATACTTGTTATGAGTGTGTTAAAAGATAATGCCATTATTATATTTAAAAAGAAAGTGTTTGTTATGTGTTCACTTACCTGCCCTCACCGATGCAATGATTATTTATAAAAGGGTCAATATTCCTTTGCTATGGTTTAGAGACAGTGGAGGATTTGCCCTAAGGCCCAATAGTCCTGAGCCTAGGGCGGCCACATATTAGGGGTGGCCAATCGTGACAAAAATTCACTGATGATAACAAGATGATGGGCTCTGAGAAAGGTGCGGTTGGAACTTGCTACATGGGATAGGGCCTGGGACGGCCAATACTACAAATCCGCCACTGCTTAGAGATGAGGCCAAACACTTGAGTGCTCTACTTTCATAATGTTTGATACAAATGTTATTGAGTGTTAACTGAATTCTTTTCATGTACTCACCAATTGGTCAGAGAGGAAAATTCTTCTAGAAACTATGCAATACTCATCTACCAAGAAAATTAATTTGTTTTTTTGTTGTTATAGGGAATTTTCCCAAAATAGCACTTGACCTTAACCACTTGTTTATTAACCATTACTATTAACTTGATTGATTGAGAACATAAAGGTAATTATGATAATCTATTTAAAATATTTATTAACCATACCTAACTACCCGAGAAGAGACTGGTAAAGATAATGAAAAATCTTCAATGAACAGTAGTGCAATTTAGGTCTCAATAGGGAACTGAAGGGTGGATAATATCATCATCTTTAGAAATGTACCAGGTAGTTTTGTTGAATGAAGGCCCATACTAACCTGCTTATTATATCACTTGAAGGAGGTGGAAGAGCATTTAGCATAATTGCCCAGGCTAAGCTCCTTGGTCTCACCAGCCTTAGCTGGATCGCTGCTATCTTCAAGTACTCTATGTTCCATGTTGCAAAATGTAAGCTGGAAAAAGAAAAATGTTTTCTTGATACCTTCAGCATATTACAAAACTACACCAATGATGATAGAAGTCCTATTTTTTTATAATTATATATTAGATAGTCTCATTAACCAATATTGAAAATAATATGGTTATTACCATTGTTGAAGTGAGATTTAAAATACCGAAGATTGTTTTTACCTAAATTTGTTTATTAAATATAAACAAAACATTATTGAAAGTTATTTACAAAATATTTCACATTTATAAATATTTCCTTGTACGGTAGTTTAAATTGCAGGCTGTCAGGGTTTTCACATTTATAAATATTTCCTTGTACGGTAGTTTAAATTGCAGGCTGTCAGGGTTACATTCCAAAAAGGAATGAACAAAGAAAAGTCAATATTTATAATCTGATAACATTGTTAATACTTACTCGTAGTCCGCGGCTTCTATATGGTTAATTGGTGTAGAATTTGGCGAAAAATCTATATTATTTTCCTCCTAAACAATGTAATGTTTTACATGTAAAATTTGAATAGATATATACTCCAAAATATCTAAGCAATATCTTACCATATTATGTTAAAAATACATATTACGATTTTGTAAGTATTTAGTTAAACTAAACCACAATTATTTTTAAACCATATGTCTTTAATTTTTAAACGTTTCTTTTTAATTTTCATTGAAAATAATATATGTTTTTAAAATCCAACTGGGACCAAGTTCGAGAATATTGACATTGACATACTCTTCTCATACGTACTAAGACGTCTGTGTGACAGGACAATGTGACAGCCTGAAAGGTCGCACAAAATGTGGTATTATAGCGATTATTTCAAAAAACTGAAATATTCGTTTCGACTAGTGCAACATCTAGAGTGATAGACCTGAACAGCCCATTGTTAACGTAGTGTAGTGAATGCTTTAACCAAAGAGTATTTTTATATATCGGAAATCTTTTATAAGATCTGAATATCGGCTCTAAGAATTTTTGACGCTTTGTACATTAAAATAGAGTAACGCCATCCTAGTGTATTCTATTTTTTAGACTCCTACATACTTATAAATACTACATGTACCTTGCCTCTTTACTCGCTTCGTTCAGTAAACAAACATGATAAAATATTTGAAATTGTGAAAATTCAGCTAACATAATGTGCTTAAAATATTTCATATTTTTCTACGGCAGTATCATTTTTGTTGGCATATCGTTTATAGTGTAGTACCTTTTTTTATAATACATCATAATACACTTAATTTATTATTAATTTCATGTATGCTATGCTATCCATTTTCATATAAAATGTATTGTATTGTATATTAACTTTGAAATCGTTTAGTAAAGTTTGGATGTCAACTAATTTTAGGTCCTTCTAATTTTTGTTTTCGGTTTTTGACAGATTATGGTGTATTTTTACGATGAATTAATTTTATGTTATACATATTTCTTTAATAATTATATTTCTTAATTCAGATAGTCCAAAAAATACTAATCGACTTTTGTAACATGCAACTATCTGTGAAACGTAAGCCGTCACAAAGATCTACGAGAATTTACTCTGTGGATTTAAGGATCTCTCTCTCTTTTTAGTTAACGAACGCGCTCGGTTACTGAATTTTTGGAAAATTTGCAGCTAAACAAAATTTCGTTCTGTCGTGGACCAAGTTTATTTTTGTAGTAAGCCATATGTGTTGTAGATACAATGTTTAGCGTGGCGATTCACATTATGAAGTGTAATGTATCAACCGTTAGCGCAATACTGAGTGGACCGACATCGCAAGCGCTGACCCCTGAGCGATGACTGTAAGCCGCTTCTACCATGATCGCCAATTTGCCGTTGCTTTTTGCGAACGGCAACCCGACGGCATTGTCAACCATTTCGGTAGCCCAGCTCGAGAAATTCATAACGTTCATGGTAACATGCTCTTGGGGCCACGACACGGCCAAAGACATCCGCCAACCGCCCTGGTGGCCGCTAAATGTGGAGTTCACGCATCCGTTTACGAAGCCGGCGCAAGTGCCAATAGACTGGGAAGTGCGTTTAAAAAATCTTGTGAGACGGTGTTACGATTATCACAAAAGTGCTTTCCTGTTGGTGTTCTCGGCGCAGCTAGCACGTTACCCTCGAAAGCGGCTGAGATATGTTGACAACCGCGACCACACGACTTCATTGTACTATAGGCCAAGTGGGCGGCTCTTGGTAACGTTTAGAAACGAGAACCTGTTCTATGACAAAGAAGGATCTGCCGAAAAAGAGGAGTCGTTGGTTAAAGCCGCTGATATATACCTCTGCGACAATTGTGACAGCCATTTCGACAATTTGGACACGTTACAAGCCCATGAGAGGCTATGCAATAATGATAATGTTCCCAACAGTACATGCAATAGTGGTTTTTTAGAATTCCTAGCAGCTTTGAAGTTGCAATCGACAGAGGGAAGCTCCCAGGAGTCAAGTACAAAAACCACTGATGTAGATATTAAGCCAAAAAACTCTAGAACTGCTGCCAATGTTGACAGAGGCCCTCCATATCCATTTTCTTCACTGGCATACATGAAGAATGCTAAAACAAATGTAATTAGAGATAGCACATATTCAAGGGAACGAATTGAGAGGTACTGCTGTACCTCCACATCCTTCAACAGACCTGTAGGTAGCAAAAGTAGAAATAATCAATTCCCTGTTAGATACAGAAGACCAATAGATTATTGGCATCGACTACATAAATTTCCATGTCAGAGAAACAAGAAAATACTTGACTTGAAGGGGCAACTTCTTTTGTTAAAATGTAGGCCTGTATCTGTAAATATTGAAAGAATGTCTATGAAGAGTATGCAGGACTACATTGATAACCTACATAAGGAAGCTAGTAAAATGTATATAGAAGAAAAGGACATAGTGTATGTAGATGGGTTTGACTCAGATCAACCAATGGAGGTTGATATGAAGAGTTCTGATCCCCTCAAGAGATTAGATAATGACTGTGAAGTGATTGATTTGTGTTCAGATGATGAAGGCCAAAGTGGTAATGAGAACTGTGACCCCAGGGCTGGCATAGCATGTGTAATGCGTGGTGGTGCTATACTACGTCGGACTGCAGCAACACCTCATGCCTTACCTTCAGAGCCCTGTGGTGCTCGCCAACGACCCCTCCCCACTATGCAACACCTGCCCTCAGCCATCCTGCAACCACATCCTGTGATCTTAATTGCGCATACACTAAACAATTTGCAGACTATATCCTTAGATTGAATTTATGTATTAACTTAAATATAGCATGTGTTTTAATTATTATTTATTACAACCTAATTGATTAAAAAGAAAGTTTATCTTCCATGTGTATGTTTTATTTCAGCAACTCCACATTTAAAAGTGTGATTAGAACAGAAATTTAGAAGTGTGTCACAGAGAAGAATGCTTGATATTTTTTGGAAATTTCAAACTGCTTTGTGTGATATAAGATGTAACTAAAACTTTTTGGTATTTGTAATTATTGCTCTGTTATGTACTTTTTCCAAATAATTGTACATTAAATAACAATGTATATTGCTTATGAGAGGACTTACTGTATTTACATAAATTATGAGATATGTTTAGTTTATTATTTTCTGTTACTCCATAGTTTCTAAGTATTTTTTATATTGTTCATATTATGACCTAGCCAGTTGTTGAAGCTTGGTTGGATTCTTGAACATTAGTTGAATGAACTTGGTTAATTCATATTAAAAAGTTTCTAGAATAATATGTTATTACTGGTCTTTCAACAATCATTGGCTTGATTTATGGTTCTAATGGTTCAGACAAGCTATGATTAAAAGTGAATTCAGATATTTTCATTATTAATTTTTCATACAATACTCAACACAAAATGTGATAGCTGAGCAATAAAATATGTACTATCAAAAATAAATGTTGCTTCTATTTGAGTTTTTTTCCTTTTCACAGTATTATGATTCCAAATTTGGCTGTTTTTTATTAAGCTATTTATAAATAATTATTTCTTACTTATAATAATTTAGCTATAATTTAAAAGTTTTCTCTATAATGCACCACATTATGATAAATGTACAAATGTACATTTTTATACAACTTTAGATAATTATTTTTCAAATAAAATCTTAATATTTCCATTTTCAGTTGTTTCATTGTATTCTATAAAAATATGTATATTAATAGAGAATTTAACAAGGCTCCTTTCTTAGTTTAATATCATATATATGGATAATTAGATAATGTTACGTGCTTTATCATTTTGTCATTTTAAATAATATTGGCAAATTTATCTCAGTAACTTATTACGTATACCATTAAAATATTAAATAATAGGCAATGGGCATGGGCATTAGTCTGTATCTAATATCTATAGCTATGTACTATGTTGTTTTCCTGTAGTGGCGCGGGAGTGACAAGATGGCGTCTGTTCTGTTAATTTAGTCTGCTCTTCATTTCGAGAACGAAATAAACCACAATTATTTTTTAAACACTTAAAGGTGTACAAAATGGATGTCTAAGGTAATGTCAAGAACTACTTCTGCCCATTGTCGCTTTATAAATGTTAACAGAAATTGATAATTAAAAAGCTTTGATTATATGTATACTTGATAAGTATATAGTTGAAGTCAAAATATGTAGGTACTCGTGTCCTACAAGATAGTTCTATTTTAGTTTAATAGAGAACAGCAATTTATAAAATCGAAACATTGAGTATCGATGGTTAATGCGTATTTAATTAACACTGTTGATAAAAATATGCTACGAATAACTAATTATAATATTTCTTTGTTATATTATGTTGTTGATAAGTAAAATAAAGGTAAAATTACGGTGTTGAGCATTTGAAACTAAACAAATTCCGATCAATGTATGTTGGTAGCTCGGTTGGCGTAGTTACTTAGCAATGGACTATAGTATTGCAAGCCTGGGTTCGAAGCCAGCCCGGAGCGGGTTGGTAGACCTACAAATTATTGTTTTAGATCATTTGTTTGTCTAATCTATGTCAGGAAAACAAGATAACGTTCCACGTTCTTTGCCTTTGTTGGATAATTGGTTCAATTGTAATAACTATTTATATACCAGTGCAGTTACAGACACCTAAGTAGGACCTGGTTGATTGGAGTCATTGTTCTATCCAATTGTCGGTCGATCGACACTCGCACTGTTTATAATTCTCCGTGGACCAATGAAATACGATATAATGATCGACTGCATAATGCTTTAGCTCTTAACGTTCATATTGTTCTGTCCGAGCAGGCTATAAAGCAGTATACAGGTTGATTTTATAGATCACGGACATATTAATAGAGCATATGCAGAATTTTATTCTAAATCTGAATCTGGTACGTACTTGTGACCTTATTTTTTTTTCAAACATTATGGACATCCTTGAAAATTCCTGCCTTACCGTCTCAATACAATAACGTATTCACGAGCACTAAAACTTTTCGCTGACCGCATAAGTACTAAACCGCTTATCAATAGGGTGAGCACACTTAACGGGATAAAAAACAATGTTTGAATTGATATTTTTCTGGTTATTTGTTGTCAAAATAAAATATTAATATTTTTTGGAATTATGAAATGCTCAATTAAAATTACTTTGTTTTATTTATATATTTTTTTATGTCAAAAGTTGCCAAACGAGCAGACGGTTCACCTCATGGTAAGTGAATACCGCCGCCCATGGGCATCTGCTACACCCGAGGGTTACAGATGCGTTGACAACCTTTTGAAAATTGGGCTCCGGCTACCTCACTCACCAGACGAAACGAGCAAGTATTTGTCATACTTCCACTTTACGTTGGTCTTCTGTGAGGTAGTGGTACTTACCCGGACGGGCCTGCCCAATCGTGCAACAACCGGCTGCTGCGTGGCCCTACCACCGTCAAAGTATGTACTTCGTCTAAAAAATCACTGTATACACGGCGCATATCGGTAACTTGCCGACGCATCTTTCTAAGTTATTTTTGGCACGTGGAGCGGACAATAGTGAAAGGGCGTTTTGTACAATTCCAATGTAATATCAATTTACTCTTAGACCTTCGAGATGGACGATGTTTGTAATAGACCATCTTAGTAGTGCATACTCGACCAAACAAGGTCTTCGCAATAATAAAATAAAAATCTTGTTCATGTTAAGTTAATGACTTCCTTGTGTCCCCTAATGCAGTTTGTGTTCAAATAGGTACCGAATAGTTAAAGGGGCTCGCTTAATTCTACCTACCGTGATATAAGCCATCGTTAACTGGTGTTAAATTTTACGATGCAGTCGCATGTTTATTGCTTTTTGTATTGAAGTGAGCATCTGATGTCCATTAAGCCGGATGCTCGAAGATAGCACATAGCCTGTCCTGGGTTTATTGCGGTGCAGATTTTATTATCTGGAGGCAAAGTTAGTCTACGTTTATTTTATTTAATAAACCGTAGGTTATCGAGGATTCAATTGAGAAATAGGGCGCTTTTCCTAGCACATTTGGTATCGGGGTGATTTGCTTCGGCATCTTGGGCTTGTTTGTGAAGCTGTTTATTTTATACTGCGTGTCGTTACAACCGCGACAATAAATGAACACACGTCTAACGCTACTTGCCAATAATCATATAAAATATAAAACGTTAAAAAAAATCCTTAATTAAAAAAAAATATTTTTCAAACAAACTAATTAAGTAAAAACTAACAAAATTTGTAATATCCTTTCCAAAGACTCATTCGTTGCCATAGCGTCGCATTACAAATCTCTCCGTCTAACAGTATGTTTTGTCTCTTTTAAATTCATTCAACCCATTCGTATGCTTTGTGACCTTTACAAATGAACTTTACGTTACAGTTTTATACGTAAGGGTGTTCTAAAATTGTTTGTTTTGAAAAATTTAATAACTCTGTAAATATTGATGTTTAAAGAATGTAAATATGTGTATTGATTAATGGTCGCGTTACGTTAGCGCCACGCTGTATATTGTTTGTTTATTTATATATTTGGGTAAATTTAAAGAGTTATATGGGATCCAAGTTCATTCAAAGCGTAATTAAAATGTCGTCGAAATTATTTTTTTGATTGTAATAAAAAGTCAAAAAGTCCGCGGAATGAGGGGTATGGGGGGTGAAATGAAATATGAAATTATTTTTTCTTTCCAATATATTCTCCCTTCACATTAATACATTTCTCAGATCTATGAAATAATTTGATTATAGCATCGAAAAAAAATTATTTGTGCCTTTTTTATGCTACTGGATCGACTCCCCCTTTGGATGCAACTACAGTTTCATAGTAGTAAACTCAAGTTTCATCCCCAGTAACGATCCGGGCCATAACTTATTCTTTATTCTCCTCACAGAGCTTAAAAACTGGCGAGAGCACTCAACGCGCTCGCATTTTCGGAACGGCGTAAGCATTCTCGGAACCCATCTTGCACTGACCTTAGTCATCCCAAGATGATCATATAGGACGGTTAAAATGGTTGTTTATACTACCACTGCTGCTAGCTGCTTCTTTTTCAGTGAGGCGTCTTCCAATATATTTTTTTCTACTTTCTCGATGATTTCTGGAGTGTTTTACTAGGAGCAGAGTCCCCATAAACTGCTAACATCTATTGGGAAATGGTTTGAGGTGATTTTCCTTGCTTGGTAAGGAACTTAATGACGGCGCGATATTTTAATTTCTCCATAATGGCTTATTTGTTCTCGATTGATTTGTTCACTGGTCGATAACTCAAAGTTTAATGACCTGATTAGGTTCAAATTTGGTAGATATTTATGAACTTAATGAGTAGTTTTACTAGTAATTAAACTGGATCACTTAACTATCCCCACCAACACCTTAATTTCGCGAAGGTTTTGACCGCCGCTCGTATTTTAAGTAATTCATAACATTTCTTCATAGATTAACGTCAATTTTACATCTGTCATCTAGTATCATATATCGATATTAACATTCCTAATTTCGTTTGGTATGAATCATACCTACCCCGATTAGTTTTCGCAGGCTAAAACAAGAGATCAATACTTCGCTATGGGATTTAATAAACCGAAAGTAATATTAACAATCGCAAATATAAAAGAAAAATCTTCAGTCTAATAATATACGCAATAGACAGCCTGTTTGTTCCTTACCGTAAAATGGGGTGAATAGAATTCAAGGGGGGAATAGAAAAAAAAACGAAACTTTGTACTTTGCAAGAATGCTGTCACAGCGTTCAATGAAATTACCTAAAATGTATTTTTTTATATACAGCAACATTGGTTATTTTATGGCAACAAAGTAATTAGTAGTGAAGTTGTTCCTGAATAGGAGAAATAGTGTCTCAAAGTGAACCCATAACGGTCATCGTTTTGAGCTGCTTAATACTTTTATTGCTGTTCAGTATTACAACCGAACTTGGTAATTAATTCAAATTCATTCAGAGTGTTAATTACTTTATTATTAAATAAGTGACAGGTAAGCCAATTTAATTCTGATTTCTTTTATAAATGTGCCGAAAAGTTATGTTACCTATAAATTGAACTTATTCGGGGTGAAAAGACGACGCCTGGGGGTGAATAGATTTGAGAATGGGGTAAATAGAAGCGCGTAAACGCTAAATAGAAACGCGTGAGGGGTGATTAGTAATGCGTCCGGGGTGATTAGAATTGTTATCGCTAGGGCTGTCAAACAAGATTATGCCTACTATATTTTTGTATGTAGGTATTTTGTACTAACGGTAATTTTATAAAATGTTTTTATAGTTAAAATATTTGCTTATTTGCTTCTTTCCTAAATAAAAATAATGCTTATTTTGCTTGTTCAGATAATGCCGCGAGTTTATAAGCCTGAACCTGGAAGCATGCGCTATAAAAAGTATGACAAAAATGTTCTTAAGGAAGCGGTGGAAGATTATTTGATGGGTAATGATTCGATAATTGTCCAACTGTCAATTAAAAAGTAATGAAGAAGAAAATTCAGTTGCAGAAACTGTAACAAATAATTTACCGATGGGAAAGAAGAAAATACAGATTATAGAAAATATAAATTTTTTAGAAACACACAAAAATATTTGTGACTCTAAAAAATACAAAAAAGTATCCCCCAAAGCGCCTATAATAATTTTGAAAAGGACTGATAGACCGAAAAAGTATAAAAACGATGACGATATACTAAAAGACTTACGAGATGATAATATTTGAAAAAAAACTAATATTTCAAATAATCGTATAATTACTTACGTGCTAAACTCTAATTTTTATTTATTTCATTAATTTCATCTTGCAGGTTTTGTTTTCTGTAGAATTTTTTTTGTATTTTGTCAAAACCGTAAAAGTAAAGTAAAGTTTTATATTTTTCTAAGTTATTTTCTATATTTTTTGTTTGATTATTATTCTTTTTTTTTAGGTGATTTGCTCCCAGTATGTTTGCTGTTATATATTTTTTAAATAAATCATTAGACAAACAATTTAATAATATTAAAATTATTAATAATATCTTTCCTTCCACTGTTCATGTACTCCAAAATTTTTGACATCCCTGGCATTTTTTTCTATTCACCCCGTTCTCGACTCTATTCACCCATATCACGGGTAAATAGAAAACACGCATATATTATTAATTTTTAAATAAATGACTAGGAAAATAAGTTCGTCTTTAATTGAAAACATTTTAATAATCTTTAACTCACGAGATGCAACAACTGCTATTTTTGAAATACATAGAAAACATTAAAAAAAATCTATCGAAAACTTAAAAACGTTTCTATTCACCCCATTTTACGGTATCGATTGTAAAAGTCCTTACGATGAATTAAAGAAAATTATTATTGTTAACTTTCAACCATATTAATACTGTTGCAAGTAAAATGTCCTTGAGATATAACCATTGTTTAAAATCGTACATATTGCTAGTTATCTGAGACATTTCTAAGAAAGGCACTGTACAGGCGCGTCGTCAATAGAAACCAGTTCCTTAAGGTAGCAATGTTTTTGCGCAACAACCACTTCAAACCAAGTTTAAACAAATTACTAGAAGCAAGTTTCTTTAAAGGATGTATGATAATGAAAGATTTTGCTTTCCTTCTCTTTTTTTTTAAATTTTATAACAAGAAAAATACATTTTAAGTAAAATAAGGAAATTCTCTATGAAATCATATATCCTCGCTGTTCACTCTGTGGTGCGAGTTGAGTGGCCTGCGGCTTTCCTCGTCAGAACCATAGATAACCTCTTCATCGGAGTCGTTGATCATGGAAAATGCCGGATTGTCTTTGGTTATGGCAGTTTCTGGAAAAACGTAAAAAAAACAGACATATAATTTTTGAACTATGAACTTTGCTTGTTTTATTAGAATGGGAGATATAATTTTATTAGTAATATGCTTGTATTGCCATATGAAAAAAAATATTTTTTGAATTTAAAGTAATTCACTTAAACTTTTTGCGCTTTTATGACCATTGAGTATGCAGGTAAAAAAAACTTTTATTTTTAAGTGATGAGTTGTTTTCGGTTCGGTTCCGAAAACCGATCTCTTTGGCACGAGTGCAATAAGATTGGATTGTAGTAGTACTCATATACGTCGGTCATTGCTGTCCACGTCCAGATCAGGGCGTTAGTGCGGGAATGCCTGACGTAACTATTATTGCTTTTATATTTCATATTTTACTTTAAATCACATAGGCGAGCACTGCTAACACAATAGTTTCACTAGTCGTGAATCATTGTTTCTTGAAATTAGTAAAATATTAATGTTATTAATAATAAAGCTTGTGTGCGATATTAACAATCAGCAATTACTGAAAGTTGCCTTACCGTGTATCGATCCGCCGCCGGGCGAGAACAGGTAAGCCATCAGGTATATTTTGAAGTTGAACAAGCCGTACAGGGCCATGAAGGGGGCCGACGTGTCGTACGCGACCTTGGGCTGCGACGCCCAGTGGTCCTGCAGCGCCGCGGGGCCCCACGATTGGAGGGCCAGCAGCGTCGTTATGACCGTCACGGTCGCGACCACTATGGACAGGCAGCGCAGTCTAATGTCTGGAACGAATGGTTACATCAAGTGCCAGTACTCGGGAGCACTTGTAAATCCGTCCCAAACTGCTTTGTGCACAAAAAACGGATTAATATGGAGCATGAGATGGGATCATCATGGTTCTTTTTTTTAATTTTACTGACGTTAATGACGACCACGAAAAATGTACGGCTTCGGATATTTATGATTCGCCTAAAACTATTTAAGATAATTAATCTCCCCTGAGTATGGATACTTTAAAGTGTTCGAAACGCCGTGAATTTGAAAATAAATGGACCGTACAACGACCCATAAAGTATATTTGTCTGGGAATTGGGATTCATCATCGAACTTAGGGCTGCGTTAATATCTGCAGGTAACCTTTTCCAAGGGCGGATCCAGCTTTGGTGCCAGGGGGGGGTCACGTAGTCGTGGTCAATTGATAAGAAGTTATAATTTAATTTTTATAATCATAGATACAAATAAAAAGTAGGTATTTTTAAACGACTTCAAAAAGAAGGAGCTTATCAATTCGGATGTTTACATTTTTTATGTATGTTCGGGCATAACTTCGTCATATATAGGCGGATTTGCAATATTCTTTTTTTTGTTCGTAACAATTCGTTGCTTTTTATTGTCATAAATTATACAGGATGGTTTTTATAAAGGTGCCCAAATTCACACAGGAGGTTCAAACTCGGTAGTATAACCGTTTATTGAAATAAAAACAAACATTTTTTAAATTAAAATTGGCATTCTATTCCCTAAAAAACAGAACTTGTTGACGATGCGGTAGTCATTCATAATTACTTTGGAAACGAACTTGTCTGCGTGTTAGTCATGAATGATCGCGCGTAAAATACAAGTTGCCCATAAATCACGCACTTTCTGAGATAAGTTCAAATGAATGTAATTAATTAATTACGAGTGATTTTAAATATTTATCATTTTTTTTATAACTTTATTTATTTCTAGAATTTAATAAAAAAAATTAATACACTTAGAAAAGCCTCCCTGTATAGTACTTATTTTTGAAATTTCTTTTTATTTATTTTTTCGTTACCAGATTTTATGTAGTCGTATTTTTGTGTGGTTGTAATATTTTTCAATTCCTCTACTCCGCACGCTAACTCCACTTCAATGACAAGTAGCCTAAGACAGGACTATCGAGACACGGGTGAATGATAATATATAATCACCCCAAACGAAAACTCCTAAAATAGCCGTACACTAAAAATTTCATCGTCCACGTCAAAAAAATGCTCCTAAATAACAAAAAAAATATTTATTCAGTCATTCATTCATTCATAATATTCAGCGTTCGTCCATCTAATCCATCTAATCACAGAATCCACATTCATAACAAACGGAACGAACAAACTTTACTTCCCAAAGATGGGGTCGCATACTGACGTCCACTAAACCACCACCTCTCACCACCCGTCAAAAACCGTCCACCCATTAAGACTAATCAAACTCGACGCAGTTGTGTTCCTTAATTACTGAGTTCCCATGGCCACATTCCAGCTCTGTATTCAGACCCTGGTTACCATCTAGCACTAAAGAACTCGTCATGACGAATCAAACGAGCCGAGACACAATAGGGTTGCGTCGTTTGTTTACTGAGTACATATGACTATGTTCCAGCTCCATTAACAGATCAGACCCTGGTAACATCTAAAAATTAACTACTCGCCAAGACGAATCAAACAAGCCGAAACTCGATGGGGTTCAGTCATTTCATTACAGAGTGATCATAGGAACCTCACAGAATAGACCTCACAGAAGATCGGCGTAAAGTACTTCTGCGTTTTTTCTGGTGAGTGAGGTAGCCAGAGCACACTTTATTGTAAGGAGAAAACGCATCTGCAACCCTATGCATATGGCCACGGACGGCTGAAGATGGAGATCCATCATAAGATCCTGGTTACTGGTTAATTAATTTATTTATTTGTTTATTCATTCATTTATTTATCTAAGTGAAAGACAAACTACTCGTCAATACGATTCAAATGTACCCGAACGCGATGAGGCTCTGATTTTCTGGCGATTTACACATGTATACAAAGTTTCAGCTCAACCGGTAACCGGGAAGTAGATAGATCAAATTTAATTTGCAAGATTTGATGACAAACATTAAAATTTTGTAAAAATGTTCATAAAATGAAAACTACTTGGCCAAACTATGGTAAATTTTTATGGGGCAAAATGGCAACTATTCTACAATCGGATCATAAATTTCAACGTAATCGGCGTACATACATCGAAAAACAATATACCAATCGAATTGAGAAACTCCAACTTTTGAGTCGGTTAAAAATATTATATTAATTTAAATTAATATTGAAGGTACTTACAAAAAATCTATATTGTGGCAAAAATATATAAAAATATTATGTTTAACAATTTTAATTAGTGGTAGGTCCTGGACCCAGCCCAGGGGGGGGTCATGACCCCCGTGACCCTGGATCCGCCCTTTACCTTTCCAAAGAAGAGATCACAGAGGTATTTAAAGAAATGAAATCAAAACTTTAAAAGCCTCCCCGGGACCGCTAATCTGTATATCATTGTCATCGGCATTCGCATACCGAACGAATTGCTCTACTAGGCTACCTGCCAGCAGTCCATCAGTCTTCTTTATTACTCTGGGACCTGTGTGAGCGCTATATTATTAACACTAGCTTATTTGTCCTGAACAATACGGTTTTGACGCAATCACTTTTCTCCAACAGATCTTTCGCCTGATGGAGCACATAGCCTGAAAGGCCTTAATTACATAAAGTTCGCTCCCAGCAGACATTCCAGTTTTTAATATTTCCTAGAATCACCTCCTCACAGGCGTTCCTCAAGGCTCTTGCCTCTCTCCTTTGCTCTTTTAGTAAATAAGTAAGGCCGTCCCGCGGCTTGTGTTGGTTTCGACGTTCTCTTTGCCTAAGAGCACATTAAAACCAACACAACGACTACACAAATTACACCATCCCACTATCCTTAATAGTCAGTTCGATCCTTCCATAATTATATGCTTATGTGTGCCTTGTATTCTATTCATGCGCCTATACTCGAGTACAGTCTTACTCCATGTAATTATTATTAGTTATTATGTTTTTGGTAAAGTTTTTATTATTGTTTTGTTCACAAATGTTTATATTTTTTTAATTTCTATCATCACAGCCATAACAGAAATTTTATATAACGTTATTCTTACAAAATATTGTCGTGTCCAAATATTATTATTAAGTATTTACGTTTCTGTTCTAATGTTATAATAATTCTAGTAACAATTTAAATCATTCCTTTTTTATCATTAGATAACTTACACACGACACCGATCTATAATTGCTGAGTTGACTGTACCTCCGAATGGCAGCAATCGCAGCTTGCTTATCAGGTTTGATGCGGCCTATACATTATTATATTTAGAATCGATGAAGAAATAAGTAAAGCATATCACTACATAGTGTAAACCAAAGTCGTCCCGCTGTCTGTTTGTCCTTATGTATGCTTAAATCTTTAAAACTACGCAACGGATTTTGATGCCGTTCTGCGGCTTCTTTACTAGATAGAGTGATTCAAGAGGAAGGTTTATATGCATAATACATTGCACCCGTGCGAAGTTGTTTTTTGTTTGTTGTTTGTGCGAAGTTGCCCTAAATCCGGCGCTAGCGGTATAAATAATTAACAAAGTATAAGGGAGTTCCCAGCTAATATCATAGAGACTCAATGAAAGTTTAACAAATATTATAGAACACTTTCAAGAGATCGAAATAAAAAAAAAATAGATGACTTTTCGGCCTTCATAAATATTACAGTTTAGGATTATTATAAGGAAGAAGCTCTTCAAACTGTGCACTTAAATCGTTTGGTCTTTTAGTCCTCTGCAGTAAAGGCACTAAACACAGCATGCGAATCTCAGGTGATAAGTAAACTTGGGAAACAATAACGATTTACCATCCCGTCAATTGAGTCCACAGCGAATCCTTCGGCTTTTACTATTCTCTATATACAAATTATATACATCGGAATGTCTTTAATAAGGTAATAACAGATGGCATGGATTTGTAATTTTATTTGATGATCCGTCTTCAACTAGTAAAAGTCCGAGATTAGAAGTTGGCAGTAAGGGATACAACTTTTTCGCAAGAATGTAGTGAAAGGTTTAGTTAGTAAAAAGAAAACACTTTACTGTATACGTAGGAAACCGTGATGAAGAAATTCCAAAAATGGAAATAGCGTGGAGAAATAAAGAAATTGACGATTCCACTAGATTAGGAAAATAGAAAAGGAAGACAGAGAAGAGGACAAAGGTAAATGGTAGTTTTGTTCTTCCTCATTTTTGAACTGACATGTCAACCCTACACTTCTTAAGTATAGGATTCACGCTGTTTATAAATACCACGAAGATTGTACTAACAGTGTGGGAAGATAAATATGAAAATATATAATATATCAAAAAACTTACCAAAGAACGGCATGTTACGCAGATCACTATACGCTTTGATTATTAGGATTAGTAAATATAGGAAATATATTGTTATGGCACTGAAGAACATAATCTTGACGATCTGAAAGCAACAAAGGCAGCGATTGAAATTTATTTTTATATATTTATATTTATGCTATGTGAAGATACAGCGTAGGATTAGAAAAAATAAAACTTTTCGCCAGCTCGCTTGCTTCTTAAGTGTATTAAAACTGTAAGACGGTTTTCTTTGAGGCGGTAATGCTTTTCCAGAAGAGCCGACCCAAGCATGCAACACGAGTTAATGGTGATGACATTAAATAGGTCCATCAATTAAATATCGATGACGAAGTTTGGCCGACTTACCGGGTAGTTGGGGTTCATCATGTAATTGAACGTCGGGTCGTAGTACGAATAATACTTCTGCCAGACTGTGACCACCATCGCAGGTGACCACACGAGCCCGACCACTATTGACTTTAATAAGTAGAACGATAAGAAGCCCCTCTCATTCTGGAACAGACAGAAAAGGTAAGCCTCAGTTGAGCAACACAAAAGTTCTTTGTCAGTTATTCAGTTTAATTGAGGCACCGCTATCCATCGTGAAAAGTATATCATAAAGAAAACATTAGTTTCTTGGTGCTAAAACAAGTCTAATAACGACATTAAATTTTCTTAACTTTTTATTGAACAAATACCGTGATTAGGGCCTAAGATTTGTTGGCCCTTAGTGCCGGATAATTTTCTAGCTATTCGTTATCTACATAGTTTTTTTAGCATTTGAAGCAATTTAAATTGTTTATAAGAGAACATAAAATATGTAGAAAATCATAATCATCAACGATAATTTGAACGAGAGATGTCGCCATTGCTTTTTTAGAAATTAAATATTTCAAAGTGCTAGTTGCCAGTGGTAGGACTACGCAACACTGTTGCACGAGTGGGCAGGTCCGTCTGATGAGAGACCACCTTGTTTAAAGGTGGCAACGCATTTGAAACCCTACGGGTGTTGCAAATGTCCATGGGCGGCAGTTATCACTTAACATAAGGTGAACCGCCACCTCGTTTGCCACTTTATCACATAAAAAAAGCTAATCTCCGCACTTAAGATAAAACATTGAGGATTGTATCACTCACTTGTCTCAGCCCGTGGTACAGCGCGAGCCACGAGAGCAGCACGCACGCGAGGAACACCGTTTGGAAGACGGTGTCGACGAAAGGTGCGAAGCAACCACCGGACACCAGTCGAAGCGGGAATATTGGATCTGCGTCAAAGTCAAAGTCAAAGTATCTTCATTCAATATAGGCTTAACGTAAGCTCTTATTGAACGTCGACAAATAACTACCACCGGTTCACAAAACTAGACCTGAACAGAGAAGAACCGGCAAGAAACTCCGCGCGTAAAAGTCATGAACTAAATTTTCGTCCAGCGCTTGATTTGGTGATACAGTAAATGCAAGAATGTCTATCAAATACCAGCGTTGTACATAAAATTGCTATTTTTTTAAACACATCCCTTACTGTAGGAAGTCAAGGATAACACTATGCTGCGTTGTGAGAGTGTTTTACAAACATAAATTTCACGTGGACAAACATCCAGGTCCGAAAGAATTATCTGGGGGTCAAACAAACACTTGTCTCGTGTGGAATCGAACTGTGTCATGGAGTCATCTATACCATGGGGTCATGGTTTTTGACGACCCAATTGGCGTAGGGTGCGGCTAGCGACCCTCTCTCTTGTTCAAAGAGTTTGGGTCCGAACCCCAATACTGCAAAATATTGCATGATGAACATAGTCTACCAATTTTCTAGTGTCTGGATGTTTATATATCTATAATATGTACTTATTTACAAAAGAAATGAACGTTTATCAGTAACCTAATTCCCATAGTAAAAGCTTTGCTTAGTTTGGGACTAGATAACTTTGTGTTTAAAATATGTTCCGAAATATATATTTGTTTTATTTTTGCTCAATATTCATACCTTAGTTCGAGGAAATTTGCATTTTAAAACGAACGTCTTCTTTCCTTTATAAAACATAGGCTTCTAACTACATTCAATCTAAGGCAAAGGCCTGACTAATTGGAGATTGATAATTTTTTTTAAAACCTTTGTATATTTTAAATTTCCACGAAACGATTGTAATAGAGAAGATAGAAAAGTAAAAGATTTTTAAAGTTCATCTTACCATTGTAGAGGAGTAGAAGTGGAAGCAAGATCGATAGCCATTTCTGTTCGATTGCCCAATCCTGCGTGGAGTATTTCCTCAGGGAATGTGCAAACCAACACTACAAAAATATAGCCAAACAGTCTATTAGATATATCATAGCAAAAAATTAAATCAAACCAGTTATGCCTTCGAAATTTTCGCATAGTACCATGGTATCATAAAAGGTGTATTAGTCTCACGAATTTAGTTTTACAGTCTACATTTTTATCTTTCATTTAATCATATTGTCATAAGATGGCATTATCGTACATTCAAATTATTAAACGAAAGTTTTTTTTATAATACATTAACTTTATTCTAATTATTGTCTATTTTTCGTCAATGGCCGCAAACATATGCTTTGAAATGTTGTTTGCATCATTAAATTTGATGAGGAGTTGCGGAGCTTTGACAAGAAAAAACCCTTTGAGAAATAGTATATATATATAAATGTATAATTGTATGTACTATGTACTTACGGCAACTGTAAATGTTGTGAGTAAAAAAATAAATCTGAACCACGTCTCCATCTGCGTGAAGGCCGGATTGTATGTTTTAAACTGTAAAAAACGTCACTTTAAATAAAAATGCTTTGAGTGAGTTCAATTCTCAATTTTATATAATGAACTAAATTGGCGTTAAAAATATGAAAAAAGTAGTAACCTATGTGAAGTTATTGAGTACATAAACTTACAGCGTTGCCAAGGGCTTAAATAAGGGAGTCAATATTTCACCCCAAGATGTTTTCATATTTAGGGTGCAGCGATCGCATGCGTTTTTTGCTACAGGTCATTGACACTAAGTCACGAGTTAAGTTCGTATTTTAGTTTCGGCTACCAAATTATTGTTTGGAAAAAGAATAAAGTGTATTTACTCACGTAAAAAATTATCTCCCTTATGAAATAACGTTTGTGAAACTCCTTCAATCCGTAGAATCGTATATTAAGTACATAATGTGTGAACTCTAAGGAGCCTAAATGTAGGACCATAACTTCTTCGCACGTCTGTTTCTTACATTTAAGGTGTTGTGTTCTGAAAAAAAGACAATGAAAATACAGTAAAATCATACTTAAATAGTGTCTATTGCGATATTCAATTACACGCCTGTCGTGGGAACATTTTATGATTATTAAAAAAAGGTTTACTTTCCAAGAACAGTAAATTGTTGTAAGATATACATGTATTAATTATTTGAGGTAAAATTAAAGCAACAGCCTATATGTCCACACATGTACATTATTTTTTTGGATAATTGGACGAACTTTAGAAAGACTTTTAACAAGTTACCTTGTCTAACGGACACGGTATCAATATGCAATATGTGAAAAAGTACCTATCAATAAAAAAACGGTGTTTTTTAAATCTATTTTTACTACACGTAAACATGACAAATGGTTGGAAATTTAAATTGTTTATAGCGCTAATCTTTGCACTTAAGATTGAACATTAAAATATGTAGAAAAAGTGCGAAAAGATTGTCGCCGTTGAGGGAATCGAACCCACGTCTTCGGCATTCGCGGCCTGACGCTCTAGCCTCTGAGCTAAACGGCTGATTGCCATACCGACGAAAATCTTAACGCATTTTCTACATTGTTTTCTTAGCATTTGAAGCAATGCTTGGCGCCATCTATTGTTATATCCTTTCCAGCATACAAAAAAATTCGAATATCGTTTTACAACGATAATTCGAACGAGAGAGGCAATGGCGACATCTCCACATATTTTAATGTTCAATCTTAAGTGTTCGGCCGGTTAAGAATTATCCAAAGTGATGGTAAACATCATTGCAAATAGGATATTTCAGTTCTTATCATCTTACCTATTTGTAGCTTCTGATTCAGGTACCAAGTTAGTAGTCGTGTGATCGCTTAATACTCCGTCTATTGATATACTTATTTGGAAGCTTTTGTCGAATATCTCCTCTGAAATATTTAGAATATATAAACAAGTATTCTAATCTTCTATCTGTATAACATTCAAAACAGATGGTTTCCGAATAACATCAAGAACTGAATCTCATCTATCATTAAAGAGATTTTAAATGGCATTTCTTTTAATTTATATTACAACCCTGCAAGTCGTTAGCTTGACATAAGATGACGATAATGTTCAAATTGGCCAAAATAAACCGTTAAGAGAAACAAACACGATGTACTGGCGTATTATTTCAAAACACATTTAAAATATCTTCGATTTGACGTAAGCCTTCTACCACAAATCCTAACAAATTTTGAAATTATTCAACAATTGTTTTCGCAGTCAGTTTTGAATTTTCATACCACAGACGAATATTTTTAGTATTTTTTTCCTCTTTTTATCATGAGCAGGTGTTAAGCGAGCCGGCATTTCAACTGATGTTAAATGATTACCGCCAAACATGGACATTTGCAACACCCGTGGGGTTACAGATACGTTGCGACCTTTTAATAAAGTGGGCCCCGGTTACCTCACTCACAAGACGGAACGCAGAAGTGTTACACACTTCACGCAGGTCTTCTGTGGTGCTTGCCCGGACGGACCTGCCCATTCGTGCAACAGTGACACTGTTGCGTGGCGCTACCAATGTTTACCATTGGTTATTACTTAGTTGTTTTAACAAAAGAAGGGTAGCTAAGATCACGCAGGTCTTCTGCGGTACCTACCCGGACGGACCTGCCCATTCGTACTGTGAAGACTGTTGTTACCAATGTATACCACTGCTTTTATTACTTAGTGGTTTTAACAAAAGAAGGGTAGCTAGGGGTCGGGGGGTACAGTTAATCTCAAGTGGGTCTCACCGTCATCGTTATTGGTCAGTATCTCGGCGAGGAGCCACATCTGCTGCACCCTCGTGCCCAAGGCTGGGCTGCGCAAGCGGAACGGACCCCGGTACATGTCGCTCGTGTTCGCCAGAACGGTCGTCGCCGTCACAGAGGTCGTGGAAGTCGGCGAGGGGCCTGAGCGTGAAGTGTTACTGATTGGATTGCATGTGGGTTTAAGGGAAGCCGCGGGGTTTTGAGTATCCTTCCTCCTCTCCGAAATTAATACAAAAGAATTATTGTTTTTTAATGTGAGAAGATGGCAACCGATGTTAAGGGATAACCACCGCCCATGGACATTTACAACATCCGTTGGGTTGCAGATGAGTTGCCACCTTGGAACAAAGTCGGCTCCGGTTGCATCACTCACCAGACGCAACGCAGAAGTATAACAGTCTTCTGTAAGGTCGCGGCGCTTTCCCGGACGGACCTGCCCATTCGTGCAAGAGCGAAGACTGTTGCGAGACTGCGAATATCATATGATTCTATCGTTTTAAACGATTTAAATTGTGTTTGCTGAAAAGGAAGCACATTAGGTAACTGAAAAAAAAAAACAAATTAGATAAGACATCCAGATTTTCGCGCGGTGAGGGTGTCGACCGCATAACTTAGTGGCTAGAGCGTCTCGACCCGCAATCTGGAAAGCGCAGGTTCATAGACACATTTAATTTTTTTTCTACACATTTTAAGTCTCATCGTCTGTGCAGAGATTTGCAGTAAAATTAAAAAACTGAATAACTTCTTGATTACCATGGATTTTTTTTGAGTTTTTTGATAACACGTTCTAGTTTAAATCTTCGAGACTCTTAAACCTCGGAATCCCTTCAAACTATATTCTAAATTTCCGTCATTTCAATTAGAAGTACACCTTATATGTGATATAAGACGGTATGGAACAGTTCAGTTTCAGAATAGATCAGTAGATATGTGTGTATATTTTTCGTTTCATCTCGCAAGCGGGTGAAGATATTGTTTTTAAGTATGTGTAAGTGATTCGTGGACATCTACAACACCTGACTGTTACCAGTGGCCAAGATTTAAAAAAAAATGGGTACAAGTTACCACACCCATAAGACTTTGTTCAACTTCACGCCAGTTCTTCTGTGTGGTCGTATTACAGACCCGTGCGAGCCTGCCCATTCCCGCAACAGCCGAACGTCTTGTCTTCGCCTATTTGTTCCCTCAAAAGTGGTTTTAGTACAGAAATTATGACTGTCTGTGGTGATAAACGGTGAACAGTTCTGCGCAGTTCGTATTCATACTTGATTGGGCACATCCACTTAAAGATCTCAAAGGCACACACTTAAACATATAAAGATAAACATAAGTCTAAATTAATAAATTTATCATTGGGTAACCTGCAAGTCCGATGAAAACTCCCAAGCCGAAGCAAGCAAAAAATGCTATAAAAACCATTACAAATTCCCCTTTGTGCATAGAGTAAATCCTCATTTGAACAGACCTGCAACAGAGCAAAATATATCGCTTTACGTAACATTTGCAAAGCAGAACAAATCTCTACGGATTTTATTAAACGTTAAAAACGTTAAACGTTAAAAGGGAATATTAATAGCATAGGAAATATTTTAACGGGTAATACTATTTATTAAATTATAATCACAATGAAAATATTATTTATTTTCGCTCTCATAACAACGGGTCGTAAAGTTTAATCGAACAATTAAACCTTTACCTTACCTTTCGCAGCGGTCGTGGTGATATGCGGGGGCGATGTATTTGTTAAATTCACTGAACAAATCGCTGAACTGTGAAAGAGTGTTCCTTATTTTGAAGTTCCAACCACCAGATGGCAAATGATAAGAGTATCCAACGTTGGTCGTATCCATTGTCACCTTTGCTTATATCGACGATAGAAATAATTTTATGTTTCAATACACTGGCGCGATAAATAAAAAAAAAACAAGTAAAATGATTTCGTAAAAAAAAAACGTTACGACAGAGCTGATATTGTTTTCCCCCACATGTATGTTGTTTACAAGCGGATTATTGATTTTGGCGCGTATTGCCATGTCGTCAGTCGCAGGGTTGGAATGACGTGGCACACTTAGAAAACTTTATCTCACCTAAAGTAAACCAAATAGATAGGCGTTATTTTATTATAAGATCTCTGAGACTTTATTATATGACCGTTTAGAGTAATATTAAAATTTAATTCGTGTCATTGTCGGGTAAAATTATAACTTTGCTTGTATCTTGAATGCTCCGTTTGAATATCGATTATTTTTTGCCGCCTAGCTTACACACGACTTTCGTTGCGTGATTTGATTCGCGCATAACATTTTTGACGCCATTGAATCAAAATTGCGCTGTTAGTGCTGCTAATTAGTTTCATGTTGATTTTTTTATATTTAAATTTCCCAAGAGGCACTTTTTGAAAAAAAAAAATGTATGAGAGGGAGGGTAAAACATAATATGTATAGTCCTCAATCTCTGGATATGAAGAAATTGACCCTTCATAACTATCCCATCATTATCAGATAGGTAGGTAGATGTTCTTGCCTAGAAGTTATGTAAGATGAAGCTGTCTAGAAGTCACCCACTTTCAGAGAGGAAAAACAGACCCCTGAACAATCTGTAGTTTCCACATAAAAAATTGTACATATATTTACAAAAGTGAGACCTACCGATATTCATATAATGAAATAAACGCCATACAGCATAACAAATTAATCAATTGACGATGGATTATTTCTAGTGTGGCGATGATGCATTAATCTTAATGCTCAGTAATGATGATATAAAGATTTTATCCTCAAATTTAATAAGTCAGAAAAACCTTATTGAAACCCAAATGTTAAACACATTGTCAAATTGTTTTTAATCGTTAACTCATTTTTCGATGTAAAAGTCCTTCGAAAAGTAAATTATTTGATATTTAAAATTATTTCGTAATTCCAATATGATTCAAACAATGAGCTTGCTGCAATTTTTTTTTATAATTAAATAGAGGTTAACCTTTAAATACTTGCGCGTGAGAAGTTATATTTCTTTGGCATCATTAAAAATAGTTTTTAATTGAATGCAAATAATTAATTACAATAAAATAATAAAAAGACTGGAAAAGGATATAAATAACAAAATTATGAAAGAGCCATCTACATTCTTTAATGGGACGAATGTGATTGAGAATATGCTGCCATCTGTAATAAGCGGTTTATCGGGCAGCTTCAAAGGTGTGACTTCTGTGTTACAGTGATGCGCGCCCATCTTAAAATTTCACTCTCATAATTTTTTCATAACGCGTGGGAAGAAGTATAACTTCAAAAATGTCTACCTTTTTACTCACAAAATAAAGCATAATTCAACGCACTTCCCAAGTATCTTGCAATTAAGAATAAGAAAAAAAATCAAGTAATGTAAGGTTAAGCATTTAATGCGATATTTTCAATTCATTCATGTATCATTTTTAGGGTTCTGTACTCAAAGGGTAAAACGGGATCCGGATTACCAAGACTCACCAGGCTGCGTCTCATGAGCCGTTATAGTTAGAAAATTTAATTTTCACAGATGATGCATTTCTATTGCCGCTATAACAACAAATAATGAAACTAAAAAACAGAATAAAAAAATATTTAAATGGGGCTCCCATACAACAGACATGATTTTTCCGTTATTATACACATTGGCTTAGTCGGTTTTTTTTGTAATTATAACATCGCTTTATAATCATGTCTTAAACAAGCCTATGTTATAAATTACAATTTGTCAACGTTCATTCTTAGTTTTTAGTACCTGGAGGACCGAGCTTTGCTCGATTTATTTTTTTTTTTGTAAATCGTGTATTTTGGAAATTACATTCAGATACAAATTACTGAGTAATGAAATATGCATAACATTTTTCGATCTTACCGACCTAATAATAAGAAAATATGAAGTTAAAAAATGAAAAAAAATAACAAAATCATCTGGATCAACAAAAAATAAAAAATAAAGAAAGCAATGATCTGTAATCGAAAAAAAAGTAAAAAAAAGTGTGTAAATGGTCGGTGTTTTTCACAAAAGAAACAACATTAAAAAAATGAAAAAAAAAATAACAAAATCATCTGGATCAACAAAAAATAAAAAATAAAGAAAGCAATGATCTGTAATCGAAAAAAAAGTAAAAAAAAAGTGTGTAAATGATCGTGACACGAACCACGACCGTCTGTTTTGGGGCCGCCCGAGCTATTAAAACATTTTCTTTTGCGGCGTTTACCGTCATATTCGAATGATTATTTTCATTCCCTGAAAACATGGCTAAAAGGACATTTTATAAAAATGAATCCTAGCTAGATCGATTTTTCGCCCCAGAATCTAGGCACATAATAAATTTCATGATATATATATATATATATATATAATTGGAATCTCGGAAACGGCTCCAGCGATTTTCATGAAATTTAGTATGTGCGTAGATTCGGGGGCGAAAAATCGATCTGACACATTCTCTGCGTCGCCCATAGGTTGACTGGTAGAGAATGCCTTAGGCATTAAGTCCGCCTATACACAATGCTAATTTTTTGTGTAAAAGTTTAAATAAATAAATAAATAAAAAAAACACCAGTACATATTTTCTTATTATTACGTCGGTAAGATCGAAAAATATTATGCAGATTTCATTACTCAATAATTTGTATCTAAATGTAATTTCCAAAACACACGATTTACAAAAAAAAAACAAACCGAGCAAAGCTCGGTCCTCCGGGTACTATATATATATATATATACAAGAATTGCTCGTTTAAAGGATAAGATTAATGTACGATGACGAATTTTTTGTATAAAATCCTATAGCACTTGAGAGAATGACCATAAAAGGCGGTTTAAAATAGTTTTTCTTGGAAAAGGGAAATCTCAATAAGTTTCATATCATGGTTGTTTAATTTGATGACATGTAAATAATGTTATTGACGTAAAAAATTTAGTATTGCATTCTAAACAAGGTTGGTGTTTTATAGTTTATTTAATTAATAAGTTAACAATTTGGTATTTAATTGTATTGAATATTTTTATTAAATTAAGTACAAATATCAAAATATAATTATTTTAATTATTTACTACTTACTAATAATCATTATAGGAAACTACTCAACATTTCAACACAGAAATATCATCATAATTTCTTTTAGAAATTGCTGTACACATTTTAAAGGCCGAAAAATTTGGGATTAAACAAATAGGAATATACACCTTTTCAATACATAAATAAAATTATATTTTCAGATCTGCAGCACACTGTCCCGCTTACAAGAAAATGTAATTAATAAACAGTATGTGAGACCGATTAAATAAAACCGGCAATAAGTTTAAATTACAAAAGCTGAACATAATATAACAAATGTTTCAGCCCTCAATCTGATCTAAAAACTTTATCAGGCAGCTTAGATTTACTTTACTATAGCAAGACACAATTAAATGGAAAAGTAATGTTACATACTATGGACTCAGTTAAGTAAGAATTTGAATACTGTTACAATATAAAGGAACATGTTGTAAACTTAACAATCTACGGACTAGGATTACTGGTAACTGCTTCTTCACTTGCTTTTGGAGTTGTGCTGTTGCTCTCGGTATCTTTAGATGGGATGTTGAATGTGATGTTCTGCGTTAATAACGATTCTGTAGCATTGCTGTTTAAATCAGAATGTTCTGTTGTGTTACCTGTGTGGACAAACCGTATGAAAAATTATATTAATAATTATTCCCCAACTATAAGGGATAAAATATCCTGCTTTTAAAAGGCCACAATGCATTCAACATTCCTGTGTTGTAAGGATGTTTTGCAAACATAAATTTCACGTGGGCAAACACTCTGATGCGAAACATCTATCTGTGGGTCACACAAATAGTCTTCCCGTGTGAGAATCTAACGTACGACCCCAGACGCCGAAGCCAATACAACTGCGCCACTAAGTCATCGTAGACATGAAGAATCACTTATTTTATTGCGGTTCTTTTAACTGTAATCAGGTATCTGTTTAGAGTACAGCTAGTAAAAATAGAAAGAAATTGTGACTTTTTTTTTGTAAATGTAGTCTTCACGGTTAGGGCCAAACAAAATTGAGAATACATATATCTTAATACATATTCCATAGAAAATCATGTAAGTATAAGTGTATATCATTATCCCCTTTAAAACTGTTCGGAATATGAAAACAATCTCACTCCCCAAATTAAGGTAATTATAAAACTATAAGTCATTTTTATAATAATTATTAATTTTTATTTTTTAAAGTTTTTACTGAGCTAGCGCGCTTACCATCAAAGGCTGCATCGCCACTTACCATCAGGTGGGATGGCAGTCAAGTAAGTGCTGGCCAGTTCTAAATAAAAAACAAAAAAAAAAATTACCTGTAACATATTCTTTGAACCACTGGTTAATTTCATCAGCATGCTTTTCCACCCATTTGATCCTGAGCGTTGCGGTGTCCATCAGTTTCTGCAGGGTTTGAGACATCGGCATCAAGTCCTTCTTGTGTTCTCTAGCGAACTGTTTCAGCTATAAAAGATAAGATAGCAAGGTTATATCAAGTGGAAGATATTTTTGTTTTATTAAACTTTTCAGTAGCGATGAACATGTGTGCAATAGGATAGATTTTTTTCGGACAACTTTTTATTTGGAATATGTTCTTAAAATACTGTTTTATTTTGAAAGTCGTTCGGACAAAGTCGCTAGTAACGCTAGTAAGTGTCACAGACTTTGTAAAACTTGAAAATATTTTTGGTTAGTGGGATGGCGTCAGGATCTAACACTTGTAAGTTTAAATAAAATAAAAAGTTGTAATAGTATTTGTGTATTGGCTATAATGTTTCTAATCCAAAATTCAATAGTCAGAATACAAGTACCGTGTGGAACGCTGTGGGATAAGTGAAGAGGCAAAGCCATGCCTCCACCAGCTCTTATCTGTGGAATAATTGAAGTAACATAGCCACAGCTCCACCAGGTCATCTCTGAGGGATAACTGAAGAGTAAAGTCACGGTTCTTCCAGCTCTTCGCTGTGGAACAATAAAAGAGACAAAGCCACATCTCTCCAGCGGTTTGCTGTGGGATATGTAAAGAGGCTAAGTCATACCTCCCTTAGTTATTCTCTGTGGAATAAGTGAAGAGACAGCCGCAGCTCACCAGCTCTTCTCATTGGGTAAAGTGAAGAGGTAAAGCCGAACCTCCACTAGCCCTTCGTTGAGGGATAAGTGAAGAGACAATGCCGAACCTCCCCTAGCTATTCTTTGTGGGATAAGTGAAGAGACAGCCGCACCTCCTCCAGCTCTCCGCCGTGGAACAATAGAAGGTACAAAGCCACAGCTCCCCCAGCTCTCCGCTGATGAACAACAAAAGAGATAAACCCTGAACTCCCCCAGCTCTTAGCTGGGGAACAATAAAAGAGAGAAAGTCGCGCCTTTCCCCTGCCCTTCGCCGTGGAACAATAGAAGGTACAAAGCCGCACCTCCCCTGGCTCTCCGCCGTGGAACAGGGCCCCACCTCCCCCAGCTCCCCCAGCTCTCCGCCGCGGAACACTAGAAGACACAGAGCCGCACCGCTGCCAGCACCAGCAGACGGGGAGGCGCACCTCGTCCAGCTCGCGCGGGTCCGTGACGAAGCCGAAGGCGCCGCCGATGGCGGAGGGCAGCGCGAACGCGTCGAGCGGCGCCAGCGCCCTCTGCACGCGCGCGAACTGCGCCCGCAGCAGCCGCTGCGCCAGCCGCGTGCCCGCCGGCGGCTGCACGCTCCACGCCGCCACCGCGTACTGCTTCGGCAGCTCGCCCAGGCTCCGCTCCAGCAGCCTGCCATCGCCCCGCTCTTTAACTCGACCCCTTTTTAAACTTAATCCTTCTACGCTCTCCTCTTATGTGCGACATGTGACTTGTTCTACGTCCCACAGCAAATCACCCCCACCACCACCTCGGCCTCTTCCCGCTCTTTACACTCATTCCTTTTCTTTTGTTTTTTTTTGGACAGAGTGGCAAATTAGCTGGCGGTTCATCTGATGTTAAGTGGTAACCGCCGCCCATGGATATTTTCAACACCGGTACGACTGCAGATGCGTTGACAACCTCTTAATAAAGAAGTCCCCGGCTACCTCACTTACCAAATGAAACGCAGAAGTGTAACACTTCTTGTTTACGCCGGTCTTCTGTTAGATCGTGTTCCTTACTCGGACCGACCTGCCTATTCGTGCAACAGTGTTGCATGGCCCTACCACCGTTATGCTTTCCTCTCATGTACGACATGTGAATTATTCTTATACTAGGTCCTACAGCAGAATCCCATCACCACCCCGCTCTTTACACCCACCACGACTCAATCCTACCTCGCAATCTTTCTATGCTATCCTCTTACTTACAACATACGATTTAATTTACTTATCACCAGCTCCACTCTTTAAACGCCTAACTTACTCGGCTAGTTTATTTTTACTAAAATGCGCTTTCAGTTCGTAGACTAGTAAAGCTTAATCGAATGCGGAACTAATGGTCAGACCCCACAAATTTGATGTGGCCCTTCGCCTTGGGACCCGCGCATGTGCTCATGCGTGCGTTTTAGTCACTTAAATACCATTAAGATTCGGTACGAACCGTGACCCCGATGGCTGTTTAATCTTTTCGAAATTTCAATTCGACCTTACCTCTTCTCTCATGCGATGGAGCATCCGAAGCCCTCTTAAAGATTCACAACGAAACCACACTCACGGGTGTTGAGTCCAGAACCCAATTTCTTGCTCCAAACTTAGCAGATACCCTTTATAGAATAACAAATAACTATGAACAAACTAATTTACACCGTTAATAAGGACCTTCCGGTTGTTTTTGTTAATACCCTTCGGCTTGACAAATTCTCTCATCTAGTGGCTCGGTAAGTAACGAATTAGTGGAATTATAGAGATTAATTCCAGTACGCTACATTTAAACAATAGCACATACCTAGATTGTTAAACACATTAGGCAAACGTAATACGTAGACTGGTGGAGTCTACTATTACGTTTTGAAATTCCACATTAACATTTTGGTCAAGTCGGTTACTCTATCACTATAATAATTACCGTGTAACAGATACGCTACATTCGCGTGTCCTGAACCGAAGCGGCATGTCAATTGAGAAGGTCTGGAGTCTCACAGGGATATGAGCGCCTCGTCCCTGGTGCTGGGCAGCACGGAGATCGCGAGGCTCTTGACGGCGGGGTCGCTCGAGTTGAGGAACAGGCTCCAGAAGAAGTCGAACTCGCGCCGCCCGCCGTGCTGCACCGCCATCGTGTACACCAGCGGCCGCAGGTAGCTGGGGATGCTGGGGGACGGGGACTCCCCGGATTATTTCCGCCACGGGCTAAGCTGTATCGACACTTTCAGCCGATACCATCGGATCCGATGTATCGATAAGAAATATTCAACATCGAAAATCGTATCGACTCCGGCACAGAGTCCAATAGCTGACAAATATTTAATACTCGACATAGCTTTTTTTTGGACAACGGGGTTTCTAGGACCTATATCCGATATGTCCATATATTAAGGGCGATATTGATATTTTTGTAAATATCGAAATATTTCTTCATTTTCGACATCCCTAAAAGCAACTGATAGGGTACAAATATAATAGCTTACGTCTCATTCGTTGTAATATATGACAGTTTATTCATTTTGCTCGGTGGCATAGCCACCAGTGAATACGGTTAATGTCTCATTCGAGTTTTTACCTTTGAAGAATTGCATGGGAAAGAGCAAGATTTTTATCAAGTCTTTTTACGAGGATAGATTTTAAGTCGAATTATTGATTCGTTTCATTTGTTAAATATCATTTACTTGGGTTCGTTTTAAGTAGAAACAACGTTACTACGTAACGTAACAACGGCTATTTACGCGGAGCTGCCAGACAATCTTTTAAGCCCTACTCTGAACATAAATCGCATAGTAATGCACTTCATTTTAATCCACTCATTCAGTTTAGTCCTCAGGGAAGTTGAATTTATAATTAAAGTTAAAATTTTAGGAAAGCCTAGCATAATGCCGTTGTGAAATCTTTGCTAGGTTAGGTTTGTATAGTCAAATAAACGACGACAGCCGTCACCGCCCTCTATTATAGTGTTAGTTGGCGTTACTGCTAATGTTTCAACGTACGGGTTATTGGTTAGGTCATCCTGCGCGGACCATTTGCGGAACATGTCCGAGGCCCAGTCGAGGCAGCGCGGCGCCTCCATCATGCACTCCCACATCACCAGGTTCTCTATGAGGAATGCCTCGTTGTCGTCCTTCGGCTTGTCCAGGCCGTAGTTCAGCCGCTGCAGCTGTTTGCTCAGGATCCGCCTCATGTAATCCTACGTCCGAAACAGCGTGTTGCTAGCTCAGTTCCCCTGACGGTAGATAGTAACAGCTCACACGCACGCACGCACACACGCACACGCACGCACGCACGCACGCACGCACGCACGCACGCACACTCTACAGACGAATTGAAGAAGTATAAATTATACCACTACTTTACGTTCGTGTTTTGTGAGGTCCTGTGTAATGCTTCCCATTCGAGCTTTAATGCAGTAGAACAATTGCTAAACATTCATTGTAAATCAATCGAAGAGCGTTATAAGCGACGAATGTTGTAGTAGCTGAAGCCATTGCATAAAGTTACAGTTTACAAAGCCGGATTAACTATTAAAAATCACGTTAAGAAGCCAGAGGGAGAGAGAAGATGCAAAGACATATTCTTAGAAGTTACAGTTAAACTCCGTTTCAACCCGTTCTGGGAAAGTTAAATAAGTGTACATTGATTTTTAAAGATTCTTAGGTATCGATCGAGCTGCGAAAAAGCAATCAACCAGTTTTGTGTAGGCCAGGGACCTGTGGAGCCACCTGGAAGTAGACGTAGCCGGCAGTTTTGTGAGTCTGTGGGGAAACTGGAAGAAGACGTGGGCGGGATTTTAGTGGGTCTGTGGAGCTATCCGGGAGTAGACATAGCCTGGAGATCCGTGGTTCTACAGAGCTAAGTGGAAGTAGACGTAGCCGGGAGTTTCGGGGGTCTCTGGAGGCCATAGCCGGGAGTTTCTCGGGTCTGTGGGGCTACCTGGAAGTGTGTGTAGCTGGGAGTTTATTTGGTCTCTCGAGTCCATAGCCGGGGTTTCTTGGGTCTGTGGAGCTGCCTGGAAGTGTACGTGGCCGGGAGTTTCGTGCGTCTGTGGAGGCCATAGCCGGGAGTTTCCGGGTCGGTGGGGCTACCTGGAAGTAGACGTAGCCGGGCGTGGCGCGCAGGTTGTGCTTGAGGAAGGCCATGTTGTTGAGCAGCAGGTCCCAGACGAGGCGCGAGTCCTCGCCGCGGCGCACGCAGCTGGCCAGCCGCAGCGCGTCCGCGTAGCGCAGCCGCCCCGCCTTGGCCAGGTTGAACGCGTCGTCCACCAGCTGCGCACGCGCCAGCGGCGAGTGCACCGCCCCAGACGAGAGCGCACTCGCCAGCAGCTCCCAGTTGCGCTGGTCGTAGTTCACCCGGTAGTAGCCTGGGGGGCCCAGGGGGGGGGGGGGGGACGATCATTCGCTATTGCCGAGTTCCCTCCCGTGCTGGCGCGAAGGCTTAGTGGCCGTGGCTTTGTCCCTCAGAGCGAAGCCAAAAGTAATCACACGGAAGGTCCGAGAAGACCTAGCCCGAGTTTATCGAGAGAGCTAGCGAATGTTGTTTATTTACGATTGCCCAGTTCCTACCTTGTACAGGCGGGAAGCTTTAGTTGCGGTGGCTTTGTCCCTAAGAGCGAAACCAAAAGTAATCTACACTGAAGGTACGAGAAGGCCTCGCCCGAGTGATTGCAGACCTTTTAAGCCCGCGAGATTTGAGGGGTGTGAGGATGTGAGGAGTGGTTAAGGAAGAACCACTCTCTCTGTCATTTGCAATCGAGGTGGAGCTACATCGAGGAAGGATGAAGTGTTGGTTTTGCTTTTGGCCCCTCTCACTATCCTCTTCGGTGGTGGGGCCCGAGGGCAACGTACTTTGTTCACTTGGACGGGGTCACAGAAGAGAGACTCGTTGATATTGCCGTTGTGCCTACCCTTCGCCCGAAACGTGCTCACCACCAAACAAACTTCATGGGCTTATCAAGAACTGCCTTGGTGCTAACTTTGACAGGCAGTACACCATTGTAACTCCATGTAGATGAAACGCTGTCTGCGTGTCGATTCCTAGCAAAGCAATTGGCCACCAGGATAGAATGGAATAGAAGTCATTAGTTAGGTCATATGTGAGGTTGGATAGGGATGCGACGTACCGATCGCGTCTACGTTGACGTAGAGGGCCTGCGTGGCGTTGAGGTCCAGGGGGGCGGAGGCCGAGCGGCCATTCAGCCAGAGGCGTGGCGAGGTGTCGGACTCGCCGGCCGGCGCCTCCGCCCCCGTCCAGCTGATGGGGATTCGCCACAGGCGCTCCGCTGCGCCCTCGAGTGGCTCGCTGCCGCTCGTGAACAGTTTCTGCGGCAAGCACGAGAACACATTGGCGTTGACCGTTTGACCACTTCGACTTACTCTCTGTTTCTGTGTACGATATTTATTGCGTCTAATTCGTGGATGAGATTTTTGCCGATGTTTATTTTCTTTACTATTGTGGTATCACGTCTATTGAAAGTTATTATGCCAGTTTACAGGTGATGAAAGGTATCACGGCCCAACAAGACGGCGTAGAGTAGAAGTATTTACACCTTTGCCTCGATTGAGTGTGGTAAATATCGTGGTACGTGTTAAGATTGGTGATCACTTAGCATATTTTAATAACATATACGAAAAATAATAAGAACTTTCTACACATTCGTTTTATTGAAGAAAATCAATGAGTAGTTTTTTGGCCTTAAACATCTTTAACCCGGACGGACCTGCGCATTCGTGCAACAGTGAACACTGTTGCATGACCCTAGCACAGTTAATCCTTCGATGATTTCTCCTCCGATACCAAAAAGGCCCTGAAAGCGTACTGGACCTGGGAGAAGGTGACGAGGCCCTTGTCGTAGTCTCGCACGGCCTGGACGACGGGGTAACCCGGCTGGCGGGTCCAGCTGTTCATGAGCTGGGCCACGGGGGGATCCCCGCCGGTGGCCTCGGCCATCGCCTCCCACAGGTCGTTCTCCTCCGCGTTCGAGAACTTCCTGCGGATCGACTGCAGCTATGAGTTTCTCCCCCTTCTACTTCTCTCACCAGACGAAACGCAGAAGTGTTACGCTTCCACTTCGGGCAGGTCTTTTGCGAGGTCGCGGTACTTACCCCGACGGACCTGCCCATTCGTACAACAGAGACGACTGATGCGTGGCCCTACCACAGTTCCGCAACCCCTACCACAGTTCCCTGTGAAAAATTGGTAAGCGAGCACGTTTCACCCAATGTTGACAGATTAATGCCGCCCATGGACATCCAACAGCTAAGGGGTTGTGTTGCCGGCTTTTAGAAACGGTGGGCCCTGGCTTGAGTCTCGAAAAAGCATAATACTTCTGGTCGTTTTCTGTGGTACCTTGATACTAACACGGGCGAGCCTGCCCCTACGTGCATAAAAGGGTTATTTAAATGGTGAAATGTCCTAAACTCTATCTATTAGAGCCTCCTTTTTTAGTGGATCTACCACAGTGAGTGGCAACAAATATTCTAAAAAATAGTTATATTCGCAATATTAATCCAAGAAATAACTGTTAATTTTATTTTGATTAAGCTTACAAACAAAACCAATACTGTCGGAAAGAGGGCTAATAAATAATTGAACGAATGAACATAGAAATAATCCTCGAGCTCAAAACAGTGGTTTTAGTACAACGAACTACTAAATATTAGTGACTACAGGAAAGAGGTGGTTGATAAATAATTGAACGAATGAGCAAAGACCAACCTATAACTAAAACTGGTACAGAATTTGGCAGAAAATGCAATCAAGCTATATAACACATAGTAAGTGTAATTGTTGTACCACTTGTTCAAGTAAATCGAGAGCCCCTTGTGGAACAGCTCCTCGGATATGGTGTGGTTCAGCATGCGGATGAGGTTGGCGCCCTTCGTGTAGGAGATCTCGTCGAACTTCTGCGATATCTCCGAGGCGTCGAGCACGCGCCGGGACAGCGGCGAGGTGTTCCGCAGCGCGTCCGAGCGGAGCAGATTCATCTTGTCCAGGGCGAACGACTCGAACATGTCCCAGCCGGGCTCGATCTGTTTATGCCGCCCGGTTTAGGCTCGTATCCAAATGCACCGTCGTATGAAACCGTTTACTGTACCCAAAAAAACCTTTAGACCCCCCCATAAATAGAGTTAAATTCAATGGATTACGGTCAATTTCGTCCAATCAACGGTAGCTAGCGTATTTGTAATTTATCATAGATCTTATTTTGCAGCATTGTAAGATTCATTTTGATTTCGTTCTTCACTATTGACAAATGGCCGTGATAGCTCAGTGTCCGGGCGCTCGCCTTTAATTCAATATACTCGAGCAACCTGAGTTCGATCCCCGGTGCCGGCACCAATGAAGTTTTTAACTTTAAGTGCCGACTTATCACGTGCTCCGCGGTGAAGGAAAATATCGTGAGGAAACCTGCATATTTTCGAAATAATAACAAAAAAATATATATTTCGAAGATATGTGAAGTCCGTCAATCCACAGTGGGGCCGCGTGGTGGACTATGCCCTGATACCCTCTGTATACAGGCCTGTATACAGGCCTTTGCCCAGCTGTGGGACATGTATATATAGGCTGTTACTTTACTTTACTTTATTGACAAAAAATTGAAAAGTGGAGTAAAGTCGATGGTTTCATTGATTTAATATTATAATACAAGCTCTTGACAATTTTTTAATTTTATTTTTAGATCTAAGATGGGTAAATAAATCAATATGTTAAAAAATTATTACATTTAGACTGATCTTTACAACTATTTTTTAAAGTAGGATATACTAAAAACATTACTTTCAAATTATTATGTTAAAATTCGATGAACGGTACTGTGCGAAGATTTGCACGGCTCAACTGGTATATTCGTATACCTATTTATTTAATTTTTAAGAAATTCGTTACGTAAATCATCCATGGACAACAACTTTGTAGTTTGGCCTTGTGGCCAACAACTGAGTGTTTATTAATGTCCGGGACGAGCCGACGTGCCATTCATTCAATAGCAGAAGTTGCAGTATGTCTGTACCACAATTAGCCAATCTAAAGTGCCCTTGGCATTACGGTGTATAAAAAGGCATTGAATTAGACAATTCGTGGATATTGTCGCTGTCTCAGCACTTTTCGGGGCATACCCGATACTGTTTGAGTCATTCATTAACATACGAACCAAATCGCATCATGATATCGTTGTTGGCTTGTAAAACGGATTTCGGTAACATTGGTCCTTCGCACCGGATAAATGGTTTTATCGGCCCACATGTGATTAATACTTACATGATCCACTCCGACGTACTCTATGTAGGTGGCGAAACCTTCGTTCAGCCACAGGTCCGTCCACCACTTCATGGTGACCAGGTTACCAAACCACTGATGGGCGAGTTCATGGGCCACGTCTATCGCAACGCTCTGTTTGTCACGTGGCGTATTTTCGGTTTCATTGAACAACAGCGTTGTCTCTCTGAAAATAAGTAAAACCAATACGTATCATCACCATTCATCTATCATCATCACCTGTTTGAGTTCACTGCTGAACATACATAACTCATTATAGGTATAAATATATTAATTACTGGGAATGAGTTTTGTCATGTTATGTTTCATCTGTTCAGTATCTATGTAAGAAATTCATAGATAAGTAGGTAATGTCAAGGATGTGTTGCAGTATTTGTTTTTTTTTTTGCAATTCTTTATCTTTTACAGACGCCAGAAAACGGGGTTATGCGCGCAATTTAACAAGCGAAAGTTTAACAGCGAATCTGAAGTGATCTGAAGAATAGTATAGGTATGTAAATTGACAACAGCCTATATATCTCCCACTACTAGGCAAAGGCCTCCTATATATCTCAGAGATGATTAGGTCGTAGGAATGTATAAAGGATAAACAAAGAAATTAACGTTCACTCAGTATATCACTGTGGTTGAGTCGCCATAGCTGCTTCTGTTGTACAAATGGGTGGGTTCATCCGGAGATGTGCCACGACTTAAGAGAAGACCGGCGTGACATGTTTTACTTTTGCACTTCATCTAGTGTGTGAGATAAACGGGGTTCACAGTTTTAAAGGTTCTTTTAAAGGCAACACTGAGAAGCCACAGCATTTTTAATATGCATGGATAGCAGCAACCACTAGAAACCTCATTAGAAACCAACTGTATACTTGCCAGTTAATCTCATAAAGTAAAAAAAATAATAGCAAATCAACATGACTCAAATTATGTTTAGAGTTTTATACAAAGCAAGAGCTTTTACCTGAATGTAATTAGACCCCAATTCTCCATAGCACCGCTTGAGAAGTCTGGTATGGCTATCAAATCAAGCTTGTCCAGGGCATATGGTACTCCAAAAACATGTTCATAGAATTCCAGTAGCTTTTGTGTAATATTCAAGGCATATTTGCCATTTTGCAAGAATTCAGGTCTCGTCCAGAGGCGAATAGTCTTTGTTACATTGTCCATGCTGGTGTAATTTGTTTCTAAGTATTTAAAATCGGAGATTACATAGGCGACTAGATAGGTAGACATGTTGACAGATCTATCAAAGTGGGTCCATTGCCATCCAGGCTCTTCATTTCTGTAAGCAGGACATTTCTAAAGTATGTAAACATAACTAACTTTAAAACCAAAAATAACTTGAAAAAATTTCTTGTAGAAAGCTGGCATGAAACTTGTTGTATAAAAACAGTAATTGTACAAAAGCTACTTTGTTTCAGAATTTTGGAATCTCATATAATAATTAGCTCATATAGCATATGAGCTAAATATTCAACATACTTCCTACTTACATGGGCTCTTGGGCAGCGACCTTCATGTTGGATAGAACAGTCAGGTTCTGTAAGTGGGCAATGCTGATCTCAAACTTGGCTTTGAATGCCGGTTCATCAAAACAGGGAAAAGCCGCACGGGCTGACGTAGGCTCAAACTGTGTAGCAGCAAGTGATCTAAAACATTCACATTAAGATGTAGATAGTTAATTTTTAACATACCTAATTGAATAATGATTTTTTTCAAACCAGAACACTATAAATCAATAGTATTCAATCACTTCACATAATGTTACAGCCAGTCTAATGTGTAAGAAATTTAAAATTATTGGAGAATCTAAGTTAAAATTTGAAAACATAAAATAAACTTGTATGTTATTTATATATAGTTAATTCAAATTTTAGTAAGAAAATAAATTTCTAAAAGCACTGCAATATGAGGAAAAGTTTAATAGTTTTAATACTTTGAGTATGCCCTCCATTTAGCCCCGCATATTGTATGTAGTAAATTTTTCCCATTCTGTGTTTTTGTTCATGTGAAAATTGAATATGTAAAATATCCATACAATACAGGATTATATAATGCGATAGTAAGAGACATGTTTTTAAAGATAAAATAAATATAAAAATAAACATATCAATTAACACAGATATCCATTAAAATTATGAAATAAAAAATATAAAACATACTTGATCTCATTCTTGCTATTAGTATATGTACTTTTATAGAATCCAGTCAAAGAATTTGATATATTTCCCTTAAATGTGAGCTCCAGTGTGTAATCAACACCTGTCTTAAGCGGAGTAGCCAATGTTAATATTAATCTATCACCAGGTCCCTCCACAATTGACAGTATTTTTATATTACGGACACTGCTATGTGTTACTTGTGTGTCTATAGTTGTAATTTGGAGATGATCTAGAGGATTAAGGGTGGCATTTTCAGACACTGTCTCAGAGTTATTACCGAGATCTCTCACAGAGTTATTACCAAGAGTTGTGGATTCATGGGGCACATTTGGAGTTGCTGTGACATTTTCTATATCAATACTATCACTTGAGACATTCACTTCACGTTTTTTCTTCGAAGTAGTATGTATTGTTTCTTGTTCATAAATCTGTTCCGTGAGTCTACTGTTGTTGTTGATAACTAGGTTTTTTGAATGTAAAATTATCTCGCTGACTTGATTACTTGCTCTAATTGTTATGTACACCTCTCCACTAAAAATAGACTTCTCTATATCTGTTTTGATTTTTAATCGATAAAAGCTTGGTACTACATAAGGCGGCAAACGGAGGTCAGGCGAGGGTTCACTTGTTTGGCCAAATGGATCTGCCTCATCCCAAATATCTTGCGATGTCTGTGAAACCTGCAACAGTATGAAAGATATATGATAGGAAAAGTACTAATTAGGTGTGAAGTTTCCTTCTCATAAAGGCTTTACTATAAAACTAAAGCATCTATGTAAATTTCAATTTAATGTAAGGGTACAAATTATCATACGCACTTAACTACAATTATTTAATAATATACCACTTTTATAAATTATAATTAAAACTTACGATTTCATCACCACTGTTAAATTCTAAATTACTGAACAAAAAAATATAAAATAGTACGCGCATTATCTTTTATTTAATAACTAGGAATTATCACAGTTGTTTATATTTTGGTAAAAATAATTATAAAAAAACGTCAACAACTCATTTTTTGAATTAGTTTTGTAAATTTGATCATATAATAAAATTTAATATAAACAGCATTGTGCACAGTATCACTATTTCATGTTCGATAGTTGATAGTAATAGTATCACTATCAGTAGTTTTCTATAATACAAAGTACTCTGTGAATAGTATTAGCTGTCATTTTGACGTCCAAGTTATACAAACAATCTGGCAAAGGTCAATTAGTCGAGTAGATAATTTTTTAAAACGTGCTTTCCGTTGTGTCAGAGAGATAAATTATTGTGTCAATGAAAGAGTTTATCAACTCGTGTAACAATGACAACAAATCTAATATGTACGATTTGTATCCATATTTACTTATAGGAAGCATGAGTATTATTATTAAAAAAATATTAATAAACTATAAAAAGAATGTCATTACCTGAAATAAAAGGAATACTATTGAGTTATTTAAATTTAATTTTATGTATTGTTTGATTAATATTAATGTACCCGCCAATTGATTTTTATTAAATGTCGTTATGATAAAATGGACGGAGTACTAAGAGAACAGAATTGAATTGTTTTCAGCATATTTACAAATTACGTAATACGAGCCGTGATAGTTCAGTGTCCGGGCGCTTGCCTTTAATTCAATATACTCGAGCAGCCGGTACCAATGAAATTGTTATATTTAAGTGCCGACTTATCACGTGCTCAACGGTGAAGGAAACATCGTAAGGAAACCTGCATATTTTAGAAATAATAACAAAAAGAATATTTCGAATATATGTGAAGTCTGCACTGATACCCTCTGTACAGAAGAGGTCTTTCCCAGCAGTGGGACATATTTTCTTAAGGTGCCCAAATTCACACAAGAGGTTCAGATTCGGTAGTATAATCGTCTATTGAAATAAAAAAAAACTTTTTTTTTCAAAAAAATTGCCATTCCTTTCCCTAAAAATCAGAACTTGTTGACAATGCGGTAGTCATTCATAAATGCGTCGTATACTTTTGAAACGAACTCATGTGCGTGTTAGTTATGAATGATCGCGCGTAAAATAAATGAGTTGCCCATAAATCACGCAACTTTTGAGATAAGTTCAAATGAATGTATTTAATTAAGGCACTGTATGCAGTGAATTTTTAACTATTTGGGTGGTGAAGTATGAGGAAGTGGAGGAGGGGTAACGCAGCTTAGCGCGCGCAGCGCGCGAGTTTCGTCGACACGCCGCTAGACCATTCATTACCTAGTGTGTAGTGATGGGCCGTAGGACACTAGCGATAGTATCATGGAAGGCTTGCGAAAATGTACACAGATGATCTCTATAATATCTTTTATAGACCATGATTGTACTTTACTTTTATATCATTATAGGAATAATAATAAAAAAAACAAATATAAAGTAAGAGAAAGCAATCAACAATTTTAGAAAAACTTCCTATTAATTGTTTTAAATTATTAGTTATTCATTAATATTTTAAAAATACATCTTAAGGTCAAATAAATTAATAAAGGCAAATGACATTTCTTACAACAAAACAATAAATAAACGAATAATTATTTATTTTGATTTAAAGTTTAATTATGCAATTTCATGGTCTCCACGGCAGAAATTACGAATACGACTTTTTTATTACATATTTTCTTAAACTTTATATCTTTAATTAATCCTAAATGTGAAGACTTACTACGTTATATTAATTCCTCAATGAAATTATATTTAAAAAATTATCGATAAAATTCCTTATATCGATAAACGACAACAATTATAACTAGAATCGAAATATTGTTCCCTTCCGCAGACATCATGTAGCCTATTGGTCCGAGCGTCATGGTTGATACATCTTTTTCCAATTTTAATTTGTTAATCAATTAATTATTTTGTTGTTATTTGATAAAATGTGGAAAATACAAAAACAATTATTTTTCGTGTTCGTAAAAGAATAGTTTTCGTTTTAGAGTGAAAAATTAAATATTTTAATAAACAAATTAAAAACAATATACAATGTAAGACATGTTAAAAATTTTAAATAATGAAAACTTGGTTTATTATCTGATAGTATGTTCTCCAACTGTTGCGTTCTACGTTCAACAAATACAATAATATTTCGTTGTAATTATTTATAAAAATAAAAAAATCAACAAAAATTAAAAGGTAAATTAAAAAAAAATACCCACAAAAAGAAAATCACCAAAAAATATAACAAAGAAAAATGTAGGGATTTGAACCCAATCCCTATAGAATGATGGTCCCTTACACAGTGTTACAAACTGTTAAAAAATAATACTCCTAAAACAATTCGAAAACCAACTAAAATTTATTAAATTCAAACAAAAATTTCTAAATTTAAAATCAGGATTTTTTTTATTTTATAGGAAAAGGAAAAATAATTATCTGATAAAATAAACCATGGTCAAGAACATCAATTATAACATAATTCATTTGAAATGAATATGTTAAGAATAAAATCAAAACAATATTAAAAAAATTATTTGAGTACATAAAATATTCATACCAGACACATAGGCCTTGGCCTGACGTCATCCAAAGCAGCACGGCACTGAATTCTTTTTTAAATAAGTTGTTTTGTAGATTTTTTCGAAAATGTGAATAAAATTTAACTCCTAAAAAAATTTACCCATAAAAATTTAACTCCCAATAAACTGTTTGTATAGGACTGATAAACTTATTAATGACAAGATAAGATATTGAAATTACGCTTTAGTTGTTAATTCATACAAATAATTAACAATACGAAATATGTGAATATATATTTTTTAGTTTCGTGTTTTCGAAAGATGTAATAAAATTATAACCTCAATAATAAATAAATACGGAACATATTTCGTAACGGTGAGCGGTAGACGAGCAGCATAAATCCATCTAGCAAGGCGCCTCAGCGCTCTCTGTTCAACGTGTGGAGTTGGAAGAGAGCCGAAACAACGCCGCGGTGGCGCGGTGTTTTGGCCATCGCGTTCGAATTAATTTTAATGAATTAAATTAATATTTAGAAATATCTTACATCAATCAACAAATTAAAACAACAATCCTTTTTATTAATATATTCTACACCACTGATATTAATTTCATTAAGATTTGTTGATGTATTACGTTCATTTTTGGATTTGAATTTCTCTTTTAGAGGTAGTTTCATGATTTTTTTTCTATCGAGAAAATATATCGAGAATATGTTTTGGAAACAATGTTCCCTTAGAATGTACGATCAAGATTAACATATATTTTTTTTGCTGCTATAAAATGTGTAGATTTTGCTAAAAAATCTTTTGAAAAACCTATTTTTACTGCATACAGCGCCTTAATTATGAGTGATTTTAAATATTTCTCATTTTTAGATAACATTGTTTATTCCTAGAATTTAATAAAAAAAATGGATACACTTAGAAAAGCCTCCCTGTATAGGCTATTATTATACTTACATATAAACTATCTTTCTATTTACCACTATTTAGAAAAAGGGTAAATGTAAAGAACGACGATTGACGTTTTAGTGATTTTCGTTTTAAAATTATTTTAATTGAATTACGCGAACTTCAATGTCCTTTACATTTGCCAGAAAAAGAAACATTGTATACTTATATTAAATATATGTATATGTGTATACATATGTTAAATGTATGTATACCCAAATACAGAAATATTTTCGGTGTAACTTACCTTAAAATAAGTAATAAAATACACAATTACTCCAACTAGAACAGCAATAATTACTGAAAAAATTATCAAGAAGGCGCATATGCAAGTTGAGATGAAAATGCCTCCTTTTCTGCCATATTGTATGCCCTCAGTGCCATGGGTTTCGTATGCTAGAAATTGTTGGCGACTTGTTGATAAAGACATGTCAATTGGTCATTCCTACTGAAAAGAAAACAGATTTATTATTGGCCATATTGATAAAAAGTATGGTAGATACATGCTCATTTTGTTATTTTACAATGCTTGTTTTCACTTCCAGTCATAAGAAATGTATGAAAAGCTTCCCGGACGCAGAACCCGTAGGAAGGCTTATTTCTAAACTTTATGTTTATTAGTTATCTTTTATTATAAAAAACTAATTTTAACTCCATGATGACCACTCTTACCATTACCTTATAATTTGATAACCATTAGTAACCAAGTTCATTCGCATAAAATATACGTATTATGTAACTTAACCTTAGCCTCCCGCTAGCCATATTTTTTGGTAATAGTTTTTGAACTTATACTTCTTTCGCCAGAAAAAATAAACTGTAAAGTATGTTCTTTTCATTCAATACTATATTGAATTTTATAAAAGGTATTGCACATTCAGTTTTTTTGTAAAATTAGTATTGATATTGCGTACTCTAGGTTTATGATAAAAAAAAAAAGCGACATGATGGAGTTGGTTGACTTTTTTTGGAAATACCTACGCATACCCGTCCTCGCGGGGGCAAGAGCGGGTAATGTCGGACTCGCACCGACTAAAACCCCCACGATGTTCCACCTAGGCGCATATCGGCAGGGTCACGGGAACGCTTTCGCACACTTCCGTGACCCTGTCAGCGCTGGCCGCCTCAGCAGCCGCCTCCCAGGGATCATCTCCCCTCTCCTCCAGGTAAGGCGCGCTGGAACATTTAGCTCGCCTTCCTACTCGGCCCCATTTTCACGGCCAACGAAGTCCCCCAAGTTCGCTGACCTGGTCCCATGGTCCCAACCATGGGAGCCAGAAGAGCCAGTGCTAATAAGCAGCAAGCCTACCAGTCCCCGCGAGTCCGCGACTCCTCCTCGGTAGGAGAAGACAGGGAGAGTGGCTCCTCCTTCACCACCCTCGACCTGTCTCCTGCACCCTCCAGCACGCATCCAGAGTGGGCTCAATGAGCCCACTCGGATCTTTTTTTTACGTGGGATAAATCCTTTATCCCCCGCCCCCCGCCGCCTTGTGAGTAGGCAGCAGGGGTATGTGGGCGTTACGAGGTACCCACTAAAAAACCCACGTTACACTTGCGATGTCGCTTTTGCCGGGGACACGGGAACACGAAAACGCAATCTTCCGCGAACCCCGGCGCGACTGTGGTCTACTCAGGCCTCCTCTATCCGGGTATTTGGACGCCCGGTCCAGTCAAATGGTGCCGTGTCGGTGCAATGAACACGGCACCCCTCTCAAGCCCTCCACGGGGCAGTTAGTCCCACATAGTCCCACATCCGCCGCCCCGGGGCTTGCTATCAGGAGGCTTCCTGCGCCCTGGTCGGCACCCCACGACCTCTCGCTGTCCACCATAGCGCGAACCACGGGAGGCAACGTGAGTTCGTGCCCCACGATAGCTGTCAGCGCTTGCAGCATTTATTTATTTATTTATTTGTAGCATCACAAAGCAGAATGACAACGTATTTAAATAATAATACAAAGGCAATATTATAACATTCAGTTGACATTCCAAGTATGCGACGACAGCAAGTTATATAAGAAAAAAACAAGTAAATTGATGGTACATACTATAAAAGTGACAAAGAAAGTGATAAATATTTGTGACAAAAGATAATAAAAAACTTATAACTAATAACTATATAGCTAAAATAGAATAATTGAGAACAATATCATGAAGCATTTAAGGCTGCCTTCAATCTCCGTTTAAATGTGAACAGATCATCACCCCAAATATCCAGCTCAGGATGTTTCAGAACCAGGGAATTATAATTTCGGCTAATTCTAGATAGAGGTTTATTGTAAGTGATGTTTGTACGATGAGTTGGAACATAAAACAGTTCAAATTTTCTTAAATTGCGCATGGGTACATTAACAGCTACATTTCCAAGGAGTTCAGTTTTCAAGTTACCTCTTAGTATTTTATTAAAAATTAACATGTCAATCATCAGCCTGCGGTTTTGTAAAGTAGACATACCAAAATAGGTACATCTATCTGTATAAGATGTGAGAGTACGCTTCATTCCCAGGCGATATGAAATAGTTCTCAAAAATTTATTATATTTGCCTGAATACTTTCGAGGCGATCTATGTGCACCGTGTACTAAGGATTCAAAACAATACTGCAGTACTCCAGCTTACTACGAATTAAACTATTGAAGACTTTTATATATGATTCAGGGGTACGAAAGCCTTTACAACATCGGGAAATAAAGCCAAGAGTCCTGTTACAAGTATTGAGTAAGTAATCATAATGGTCCCTAAACGATAGCGTGCAGTCCATGATTATTCCTAAATCTCGTGCCGTAGTTTTCCAATCTATGTCCATATGATTGATAGAATACTGAAAGTCAGTTTTCTTCACAGCGCTAGATGAGAAATTAATACAGAAGCATTTTTGGACGTTGAGAAACATGTGGTTGTTATTACACCATGTCGTGATTAAATCCAAATCTCGTTGCAATAGTATGCAATCCTCGTTGGTATTAATACTACGAAATATTTTTAAATCATCCGCATACATCAAGCAGGGTGAGGATAAAAGTGGCACAAGATCATTAATAAAGCAAATAAAAAGTAATGGACCCAGATTGGAACCCTGCGGGACGCCTGAAGTCACTAGAGTCGGTTCTGATATGTAGCTTTTTAAAGTAACTATTTGTGATCTTTTTTCAATATAAGATTGCACCCAGCGAAGTAGGCTACCATGAATACCCATAGTATCCAATTTAGATATTAACAAACGATGATTTACCTTGTCAAATGCTTTCTTAAAATCTGTGTAGATAGAATAAACTTCAACTCGGTTATTGAAGGAATTATAAATATAATTTGTGTATTCCAGCAAATTTGAAGCTGTGGATTTATTTCTTATAAATCCATGTTGCTCTTTCACCCGATAAGGTGATACAAATGATAACAAGTGATCATAGATCAAAGATTCAAATATTTTACCAAAATTTTATAAAATACTTATGGGTCTATAGTTTTCACATTCCGTTTTATCGCCACACTTGTGTATTGGGACAATAAATGCAAGCTTCCAAACAGATGGGAATTTACCTTGAGTAAGAGACATGTTATAGATCATGTGTAATGGTTCTAAAATTTCGTCTACACATTCGCGAATGAAATACGGAGGTATTCCATCAGGTCCAGCGCCTTTGTCTAACGCTATTGATTTAATTTTATTTTTAATATCATTACGGGATATAAAAATAGATGATATGCTGCAATTTGATTGCTTACCTACACAGGGATTGCATCTCGCTAACTTTACACCGTCGTCTTTTTCTAAAACCGAAGCAATGCTTGGCGCATCCATTGTTATACACTTTCCAGCATACAAACAATTTCTTACATCGTTTTACAACGATAATTCGAACGAGAAATGACCCCATGCATTGCTTCAAATGCTAAAAGCAATGTAGATAAAAGACGTAAAGATTTTCGTCAGTGTGGCAATCAGCCGTTAAGCTTAGTGGCTAGAGCGTCAGGCCGCGAATGCCGAAGACGTGGGTTCGATTCCCACAGCGGCGACAATCTTTTCGTACTTTTTCTACAAATTTTAATATATATTTTATAAGGTTATTTAAGTATAAAATCAGCAGCACCCAGGAGACTTGCAAGTGCAGAACAACAGTTTCCAAATATGCTTGTCCTTAATGCATTCTTCGACATTATGATAGGCCATTTCCATTAAGGTAGTTTTTGCAAAATGTTTATACTTAGTTGTTTGTCGAAGTCACCTATTTTATTATAAATTAGCACGGGGGCAATGTATTTTGCATATAAACCTTCCCCGTGAATCACTTTATGTAGTAAAAAAAGCCGCATGAAGATCCGTCGCGTAATTTTAAAGATCTAAGCATACATAGGGTCAGACAGACAGTGGGACGACTTTGTTTTATACTATATAGTGATAGTGAAGTTAATGCATCTACGAAGTTTCGTTTTACCCAGTCTAGGCCTCGTTATTTCCAGCTTGCCGCCAAGGTGTAGTATGTTTTTTTTGTAAAAAGGTGTATATTATTTCGTACATACATGGTATTCTCGAGTATGTATAGCGACGAGAGAATTAAAACGTTTATTTCCTTAAAAATATGCTGTAGTGACTCACGTAGACCCAAGCCATAGAGAGCCCGTACCATATCGCTTACTTTTGCAATATAAATATCATGTCTGAACGTGATTTTTATAACAATTAAGTTCGTTTGTGTTAAGTTTACGGTTTTAGGATTTCTTTTATTTTATCCTCAATAAAGTAAACAATAAATAAAGCGGGAAATAAAATTGTTCTCCATTAAGGTCCGATTTGCGAGCACAGTTATGAAGGAAAGTAGGAAGGTACGTACATGCATATTGATTAGAATGTCATTATACACGAAACACTTAAACCTCAGCACGTAATTTTGGAGTGTCGTGCATAATTCGAATAATGATTGCTTTTAGAATCGGAATATTGTGTTAATTGCGGTGTTTAAATGGATCCACTACTACTAGAAGTAGCGAGAAACCCAGCGGTCGTTTTTCATATTGCGTAGATGACATAGCCCTTGTCTAATCGCGTGCAGCATGACGAATTGTTCTTACGGCGATATCAAATGAATAATAAGCATGTCGGGCCCACGTTGGAAGCATAGCGACTTGTTGCGTCGAATAGGAAATGCCATTACGCGCATTTGTGTTTTAAACGGTTCGACAGGTAATAAATATTTAGGCAGTACGTAAGCAGTACCTACTAACCGCCAGACTCTGAACTTGAATTAGTTAATCATAATTGTGTATGATTAAATTTCCATAACGGGGATGAAAAGTAGATGACAGCAGTGTTGAATATGGTATCAATCGCGATCGGTGAATAAGACAATGTCAAATAATTTCAACGGAATATTCAAATTAATTATAAATTAATTGATCAAATTTGTTACACTAGAATTTTTTTATTGTCAAAGTA